TCAAAAGGGGGAGGTTCTCCTGGAGTCCTCAACTCAAGGTGAGCACCATTACCTAAGCCCAATGTATTTATGTTCGATTTCCAACTTTAAAATTATATCAAAACAGACCTAGCCCCTGGTCCATGATCCTATCATATGATACAATCTCAAAGCCAAAGCTAAGGTTGCATATTTACTTGGCAGAAAAGTTTTTGTTTCTGCCAACTGGTGTTGGGATGCCTAATCAATTTGATTTATAGGAATAAATGGAGAATAATGTTAGCAAATTGGATCAACCATCAACATAAGCATCTTTAAGATGCATGCAACCCATACTATATGCAAATTATCAGACAAGCTTGGTTTAAAAAGAATCGTTCCTTCAAATTCCAAAGTGGAACTGTAGAGAATGGATACTAAAGCAATTCTTCCGTAAAATTTAAGAACTTCCATCACCCAGGATAAAATGATGATGATCAGACTGATATGAATAGTCAATAGGTATAGAGCATACCAAGGTCCTCCAGGGAGACGTAGGCCTTGGCGTTGACAAATTGTTTAGAACCAGAACCCCCTATGTTTCCCAAGGAAGTCTCCTGTCTCGGCTTCTAATATGATACCTTCCATCTCCCCAATGTGCCTACCGACAAAATCACTAATCTTATCTGTAACAATCCACTATATCAAATCAGCAAAAAGTTTCATACATTACTACAAACTGTTGGTTGGTGCCAGTTAAGTGCATAAAAGACTACTAGAAGATTTTCTAGATTTCCTCAATTACCTCACCTAAAGCATTTCCTTCTTGACCTATCAAAGAGAAAAACATACCTTCCCAAGAAAGCAAATTCCTTGTGAATCCTTCCTATCTTTGTTTGGCAAGTCAAACTTAGTAGCAAGTTGGCGAACTTCATCCTGTAGATGATGTGGTAGTATATAGAAGAAAAGTCAGAACTAAAAAGCAGCACAACAGACTGGCTTAAGCATAACAATACCACAAAAACCTGGAAGCAAAAAGGAAAACATGTTTTGTTTCAGAGAAGGCCATAAAAATCAGACTACTAACTTAATGAGTTCAGTAAAAACAATCAAACATCTACAGTATTAAAAGATAAGTGCTATGGAAAACCTGCAGGTGAACAGGATGACATCAAGGCAAGAGAATCTAGGTAATAAAAAAAAAAAACTGTTTGTTACACGAACTGATTAATACAATGAATCTACGTGTTTATACAATAGCCATCCTGCTTTCCTTTCTAATAACAGAAATTTGAAATAATTTGAAATTCACCAATTAAATTAATCATAACAACAATGACGACAAAGTAGATGCCACCTTATGTGACAAACAGAGGGTATAGAGAAGATAGCATCCCAATTGACCAAATTGAAATTAATCTAGTGCTACTCACCTTCGAGAGACATCCAAGTGGGAAAATAAGTCGTTTGAGCTGGAACTGCGAGAGATGTGAAAGGAAGTATGTTTGATCCTTGACCTGTACATTAACATACACAGAACAAATTGTTGTACGGAACCTATATATAACAGGATATAGAAAAAAGACCAGTATCTTACAAGAAGCAAAGCACACTCATGATCTTGAATAAACATACAAATGATTGGTATGTAATAACCAAACTCCTAATATTCCAGTAAATCATTTCTTCAAGCATTGTTTTCATACTATATGTATATATATGATCGGTATGTAACAAAGATTTGACTAATAGTTTCCATTAAGAAATGCAAAGTTCTGATTATAGGTCCAAAACATGAAATAAAACACTGGAAGAAATAGGAGTAGACATGTTGACAATGTAATTTTCCAGAAAATGCTTAGGCATTGTTTAAAACTATGGTTTTCCATATCAAAGCAAATTCAACATGAAGCACAACCCTTATGATCATACGACAGCCTGATACTTCTCCAATAAGCAAAGAATAAAATTTCGATAAAAGTTAACAAAGACACTTTCAAGATAGCCATAAGAATTGACAAGAATTATTGCACAAGTACCATGTCCTCTGATCAGCAGATGGGTGAACAACATTCGCATAATGCCCAGATGCAATATAGTCATAATCCAAACTGTAGATGGCGTCCATGAATGCACCTGGAAGTCACTATAAACATAAATGCAAAATGAACATAGCATGGATATAACTCACTACTAGTTTACCAAACCCAAAAAGAGCCAAAAAGAGCCAAAAAACCTTCAACATAGATAAATGGCTTAACTTCAGCTAGATTCCATACCAAATTTTATTCTCGTATTGCAAAGAACATCAGGATTTGGAGTGCGGCCACATCGGTACTCCTCAATGATGTAGGAAACCTGAGAGAGAAGTAACTTTCATGATCAATGAAGACAATCAATAATTACTAAATTAAGTATTCTTGTAAAGGAAATCCAATTCCAATCATTCCAATAGTTAACTAGAGAGAAGGAAGTTTATAAAGACCAATGAATAAAAAAACTAGATCAGACCGGCTGGTTCAACATGGAACTGGCGAAGCATTCCATTAAGATACACATAACATGCTGATTATGTAAAAACCACTTAAAGCTGGAAAAATACCAAGAACCAGAAAAAGGGGGGGGTTTAAAAATAATAGAACCAGATAATGATTCAATTTACTCTATTTGTCAAGCTTTTTCAAGACAAATTAAAATGGACTCCTAAAACTGAATCATAATAGGTTAAAGATCAACCTAATCCACTCCCAAAATTATTTGTCAAACTTTTTCAACTCATACAGCCATACTAAAATTAACTCTTAAAGAAGATCGACCGGATCCAATCCCAAAATCACTAAAAATATATTTTTTCAAAGCTTAGGGCACCTTCTTTTCCAGTTTCTGCCTCTCTTCTGGTTTTCTAGAAGCTTCCAGCTTGTTGCTGTGCCCATGCATCGTGTTCTCTCTACTCTTCATTTGGTGCTATAGATTATTTCTTCCTTTATCATGCATCTTAGATTTCACATTCTTAAAGCTAGTTGATTTCATGTTTCTATTCACTCTCATGGTTTGATGGGTCTTCCTGCGATAAGAGTGTCTGCTTCTGTTGTTCTGGATTTATGGACTGATTATACCTGAACTTTATGTGTATATTGAATTTTGGCAATAATATTGAGTTCTATATGTTCAAAATTTTACTGTTTTTTCTTATAGTTTCCTTTAATTTTTTTTTCACGGATATTTTAAAAATGTTAAAGTTGGGTGTTGTTAGTACAGCTTATTGAACTCATCAAATTGACCAATTTTATTAAATTTTGGTAAAGACAAGATGAAAACTCCACTCGAAAGATAAATACGTACCACATTATTCCAATATTCATCAGTTAGATGCACGACTTCTAAAGGCACCTCAACCTGACAACCAACATGATAATACGTTCAGTCAAAGTATTTCAGCTGCAATGCAAACACCATGAAAAAGAAGAAGAAAAAACCAGTTAGCCAATCGTGTTAGCTTTTCCACAAAAACACGAAGCACCACTCATGCAAGCAAAGAAATGTAAATGACAGTAAAACAGATGAAAGAATTGCATGTCCAAAGATTTTTTTAATATTTACATTCAATCCAACTCGGCCCTTCTACTACCAACCAAAATAGAATTTTTCAAGACAAAAAAAAATGGAACTTCATAAAATAAAATAACCTGATCACAAACAGCCCTTGCGTACTTCAAATCATCTTCCCAAGGGCATTTTGTCCAGTAGTTCTCAAAGTCTTCCTACATAAAACCAAGCATAAGAACGAGCATAAATTAAGTACCATAAGAATGGGCATCACTTAAAATTTTCACAATTTTTATTAAAGCTAAATTAAATTAAATTTTCGAAAACTAAAATGAAAATTGTATGCAAAAAGTGTAATAACATTTTTATCTGCTTGATTACACACCGTAAAATGACTTTCCCATTGCCGAACAAAGTAACCCACCAGCAAACCAAATTATAAACACTAACAACCCTAAACCCTAACAATTAAACAAAAAGTTGTGAAAAGGGGTTACTTGGAACCAAATTTTGAGGTAAAAACAGTGCAGGAGTGGCCAGCAGCATGAAGGAGACGAAGGGCGACACTGCTATCGACGCCTCCGCTAAGCAGAACGGCCACTTTAAGGCGCTTATGAGGCGTACAACACGATAGAAAGCGAGGGTTCAAATACTATGAATAATGTATGAGAGTTTAATATCATATGGTTGAGGGTTATCTTTGAGCATATGTTATATTATAGTCATCTCAGATTAATAAAAAAATAATTTAAATATATAAAATAATACATAATTAATTCATAAAAATTAAAAATAAATTTAAATTTTAAAGTAAAAAATTCTTTATGGTCCATTTGAAAATTTGGATGGTACCATTGAACATAAAAAATTTAAGAAGTTTTGACAGTGTTGTAAAAATTGAATCATTATTAATAAATGATTTGAATAGTTGTATATATCATTTAATTAAAAAATATACAGCTAAACTGATAAAAAAAATAATAAAAATATTCAATTTTGCAAATCAAGACATCTAGAAGCCCTAATATTAGTTGAAGAAAGAAGAAGCCCAGATATTAACTGTCAACGACCTTCCTCTTCCTAAATATTAACTGTTGTTAATTCTGCCATAAACATCAACTCAACCTCAGCCTTTGATCATTAATTGCTTTAAACAAATCAAGATTACGTTTGCTCACTCTAATATTCCCCCACTAGATAATCAACGGTCAACGCGGAAGCAGATTATATTATTTATGGTGGAGAGTATGGATCTTGCATTTCATTTTCATGTGATTTAACCCTAACATGAAGAAGGGTTTTGTCACCTCAAGTAGAGAACATGTTCTCCACATGACAGGCCAGTTTAGCGTATGTATTTCAGTGGCTGCCTCGTGGGATCCACGCATCTTCCCCTTCCCCAGATTTTCTATTATGTCCATTTCGCCATCCTCAATAATCTAAGACCAAGTAGATGGAAATAATGCATGTACCAAAATTTAATACATGGGAAAAGCCTGACGTCGTCAGTTTGTATACAGATGGATAAGTCTCAATATATATACACATGTCATTATTATTTCACTTTCTCAAGAAAGTTTTGCAAGAAATTATACCAATCCAATATGCATGCAGTAACTCCATTTTCAACGCCAAACTGGCCCTCCATTGGCTACCAAAAGAACTACATCTATGAAAGCAATGGATGTTTAGAATCCTTCTTTCAATCTTCTCCAGTACCACAAGAAGAAATCCCACTTGATTCTCAATCTCCTCCTTCTTTCACCCAAACCAGTAGTAATTTTGACCCTTGCATGCTCAAGAAACTTAACCACAACGCCTGCGAACGCGACCGGAGGAAGAAGGTTAACAGTATGTATTCGTCCCTCCGTTCGTTGCTCCCGGCAGCAGATCAAACGGTACTAATTAGTCACATCATCATATATATATATATGCTTCCTTTTTCATCGTTACCTAATTTTGTTGCGAACAGAAGAAGTTAAGCTTTCCGGCCACAGTTTCGCGTGCACTGAAATATATACCCGAACTGCAAGAGCAAGTGGAGAGACTGGTTCGGAAAAAAGAAGAGCTCATGTTAAGGGTATCGGAGCAGGGCGGTGGTAAACGTAGAGATCCAGAAGAAGAGCGAATGCAAAGCAGGCCCAAGGGAAGATGTTTAAGTGGATCGGTTGCTGTTTCTATGAATAGGGTCAGTGATAATGAAGTTTCGGTTCAAATATCAGGGAGGAAAGTTGACAACATAAGCCAATTGTCTGTGTCTGAGATGTTGCATTACTTGGAGCAACAAGGATTCCTCCTACTAAATGCTTCTTCATTCGAGTCATTTGGAGGAATCGTGTTCTACAATATTCACCTTCAGGTACCCATATCTATATAACTTCTTTATATATACACAACTAGGGATGGACGGAGGGGCAGGTGGGGTAGTCCCTTAAAATTTAAAATTATCATATATTTTAATTTTTTTATGTATTTACTATTGAAAATTAATTTCGCCCCCTTAGAATTTTAGTTCATCCTCCTTAAGTTTAAGTTCGTCTCAAACATAAAATTTTGTATATGTCACATCTAATCAAATTTTCCTAGAGCTCATAAATTATTCTAGAAATATAGCATGAATATACAGGAGTTGATGTCTAATTTTGTAGTGTTGTGGATTTTGCAGATGGGATTGAAAACAGCCTGCAAGGTGGGATCAGAAGAGGCTTTGCGTGAGAAAATTTTGGCACTATGTGATAATAGGGGAGGCTTGGGACTCTAAAAGCTAATTATCTAGGTTTATACGGCAACTTTCAATTACAAACTAAGTCTAAAGTAATTATAGTAATAATTAAAGGGCACGATCAATCGATGAAACTTATTAACTTTAGTAGTAAAAGAGAATGTTGATCCCCTTAGAAGATTGGGTTCGATCAACTGAGTTTGCAGGATGTATGACTTCTCAATAGATTGAAAAAATCTTAAACAAATATCATCTTGTAATCAGTACCTCATATTATTTAAAAGGACATGATCGACTGATGTTGTAGTTATGGAAGAACTGAACCTCTTGCTGCGCATGCTACTCAGAGCCAGCAATTGGCTTCCGGATTTCGTCCGATAAGTAAACTATACAATAAACAAGTTTAATCCCAAGGAATACATTAATGAAATAATTAAGCTTTGTTTGCAAGTTGTGGAGAATGAGAAGGGAACATAAAAATACCAAGCAGCCGACAAATAATGAATTGTTGCAAGTTGTAATTGTAACCATCGATGTCAAATAAAGAGACATCAACATCGAGATATTCTTAAAGAGCCATAGTAGTGTTGGATATCAAGAAAAACGGTACTCCCGTCCTTGTTACATTAACATATTCATTATTTATATAAACATAGATAATAAATAGGCATTAAAATAAATATAAAATACCAGTTCATCTATTTCAAAGAATGGGACAAAACATATTCATTATTGTAGATAAGTGTTGGATGCAGAACTGCTGATTAGAAATGGAATCATCGAAAATAGTTTCGAGTATATATTGAAGAAGTTTCGACCTTTTTGAATGGCCTTGTTGAGGAGGTTCGAGCCAATAGGAAAAATCGAGTTTGCTGGTCTGGCTGAAGATATGAGCGCATACTGTGGATCGCCATGGTGTTGAAATTAAAAAGAAAAACAGTTTTCGTGCATTAATTATCCAATTAGTCCTTAAACTTTAGGTTATTTATAAGATTAGTCCTGAGCTTCAACTATTAATAGCCTAGCACTTTTCCATTCATAACCATCTTAAATTACTCCAACTTTCTTCTAATACTAGAGAAATTAGAGAGTTTTCTTGAGAGTTGTTTTCTCCTTTTTTTATCAAGAGGTAAATGTCATTGTTTTATCCTTGTTAAATCAAGAGAAGTTGTAATTCCTATTTTCTCATAGTGAAATTCTTCTACATTTGCCCATGATTTTTACTCTATATTATTTAGGGGTTTTCCACATAAAATATGTGTATTCTTTATCTTAATTGTTATTTTCTCAAATTATTAGTTGCAATTTTGTTCTATCCGATAGCAGAAACCCTGATTTGAGTGTGTAATATATACTTATTGTCTTTATGGTTGCCACCAAAAGGTGGATCCTCCAACATAAGAAAGTAAAAATGTATTATCAATTATTCGAAGATTCTAGGGAACTATTCACGATAGTGAAATAATGGGAGTTATCCGTGATAGAAGCTATGGCGACGAAATTTGATATTGAAAAGTTCAATGGGAAAAATTTCTCATTGTAGAAATTGAAGATGAAGGTCATCCTAAGGAAAGAATGTTGTCTAGAAACTATCAGTGAAAGACCGGTAGATTTCACAGATAACAATAAATGGAACAAGATGGACGGGAATGCTATGACAAACCTTCATCTAGCATTAGTAGACAAAGTATTGTCGAGCATCGAGGAGAAGAAGACAACCAATGATATTTGGGATCATATTACCAAATTGTACGATACCACATCGCTACATAATAAAATTTTCCTTAACAGGAAATTATACTCTTCGGATGTCAGAATCTACTTCAGTGACATAGCATTTAAACGCTCTGAACACTTTATTTTCTCAGCTTATATCTTTAAATTGTACAGTAGCATAACAAGAACGTGTTGAGCTTCTACTTCAAAGTCTACCCAATTCGTATGATCAACTCATCATCAACTTGACAAACAATAATGTCACTAGTCTAGTCTTTGATGACGTTGCAACTACTATTCTACAAGAAGAAAATCGGTGTAAGAGTAAGGAAGACAGACAAGTGAATCTGCAATAAGTAGAGGCATTGACAACGATGCGAGGGAGATCAACAGAACATGACCAAAGCAGCAGTTACAAACATGGTAGATCAAATTCGAAAAGCAAGAAGAATTTAAAGTGATACAACTGTGGAAAGAAGTGCCACTTGAAGAATGACTGTTGTAGTCTAGCTAAAAACTCCAATCCACAAGGCAATACTTCCAACACTTCAGATGATGGAGATGCTCTATGTTGTGAAGCAGCAACAACCATGGAAGGTAGAAATAGATTTGCAGATATATGGCTTATCAATTTGGAAGCAACATATCACATGAACTTAAGAAGAGAATGGTTTCATCATTATAAACATTTCTTAGAAGGATTTGTGTATAGTTGCAATGATCATGCTTTAGAGATTGTTTGCGTTGGAACCATCAAACTGAAGATGTATGACGAAACAATTAAAGTTGTTTGAGATGTGCGACACGTGAAAGGTCTGAAGAAAAATTTATTATCCTACGGACTATTGGATAATAATGCAAACAAGATCGAAACACGAAAAAAATATGAAGGTGTTTCATGGAGAGCTTGTGGTGATGAAAGGCGAAATGATAGCTGCGAATGTATATATTGATGGGAGAGACCTTGCTAGATGCAGAAGCCTCTGTTGCCTCATGTAGTTCAGATTCTGCAATGCTATGATATCAGAAACTTGGACACATGTCAGAACAAAGAATGAAAGTCCTTGTGAAACAAAAGCTACTTTCAGGCTTAAAAAATGTACCACTTCCTTTGTTTGAGCATTGTATAACAAGTAAGCAACATCTGTTAAAATTCAACAAATCAAATTCTAGGGGCAAGAGTGTTCTAAAATTGGTTCATTCTGATGTATGGCAAGCACCTATTACATCCCTAGGCGGAGCAAAGTACTTTGTCTCATTTATTGATAACTACTCCAAGAATATTCTACTTTTGCCCGTGGTTTTTACCCTATATTATATAGGAGTTTTCTTATCCAATTAGTCCATAAACTTTAGGTTATTTACAATATTAGTCTCTAATCTTCAACTATAAATAGCCTAGCCCTTTGCCATTCATAACCATACCAAATCACTCCAACTTTCTTCCAATACTAGAGAAATTAGAGAGTTTTCTTGAGAGTTGTTTTATCTTTTTTTTATCAAGAGAGAATTATCATTATTTTATCCTTGTTAAATCGAGAGAAATTGTAATTCCTATTTTCTCATAGTGAAATTCTTCTACCTTTGTATGTGGTTTTTACTCTATATTATTTAGGGGTTTTCCACGTAAAATATGTGTATTATTTATCTTAATTGTTATTTTCTCAAATTATCAGTTGCAATTTTACTCTATCGGATAGTCGTGTTGAGACAAGATTACTTGAGCGGGCAGCCTGTCTATTATAGCAGCTGTTGTTCTACTGCTACTAACTTATACAGACTGTTTTTGCGTTTATTCAAGACATCTAGACCTGCTCGTTAAATGCATGAACTCTTGTTGGGATTAATTTAGTTAGTTTATATAATCAGCTTTTAGAAAAGGCATCTAACAAATTTGATGCTCCGATGCAACATTTGCCAAAGAAGAAAAGTTCAATGCACTAAATTCAAATCACATCGAGCAATCTCAGCTTCCATTAGAACCATCTAAAATGATGGGTTGTATTATATACAACATTCACTTGGGACCATACAATAACGTGTTGATTTTGCAGAGAAGAAGAAAAAAAATCAGATAGAACAGGGTCCCTCAGCCAATCTTCTCTGTGTTTGTATCATCGGAGGGCCAAACCACAGTCTCCATGAGCCGCTCGCGCATCAGCTCCAAGTTCTCGTCTGAAATCTCTTTGTATATTTCAGCATGATCACATTTCTAATACCAGCATAACACACAGGGTTATAACATATGTATATATTGAATTTGTTAAAGTAAAAACCAAAGAGATTTTTCATTACCTTAATCCATTTCCCATACAAATGAAGCCTTGTTATCATCACTCTTTCAGCAAGCTCTTGCCTCTCCTGTCATTGCCAAAGATTAATAACCTCATTTCTACTCTTCTTCTTTTTAAATACCTCATATCGAATTCACAGTTCTACATGAGGTTAACTGGTTCATATTATCATGTTATAATTGTAATTGATGTGTTCTTTTTGTCCAAAAAAGAAGTGAAAAGTTTCTTAGCCTAGCTAGAATTTTTGGTGGAAGGAAAACAGTAAGAAGAAAAGACTCTTTAAAGTTACCTTGCCAAGGATGCGTAAGAAATGCTTGCCATCACTGGGCTTATTGTCTGCTGTAAAACTGCCAAAATCACAACAGTTAAATTTCACATCTTTCTAGGCATCCCCATTAGACAGCTACAGGATCATCAGAAACAGAACGTATTGGAATATATTTGTATACAACACTGGCCACCAGTATGCCACTTACTGATAGAACCATGTATATTGCGGTGGATTCATCTCATAGAGCTGATTCAGAACAGTCCTCACTGCTTTGTACGTGAAATAGTTGAGTAATTGCTGCAAAAAGAAAAATAAGCCACCAAAGCAATAAATGCCTATTTAGGTCAGTACCATGTTACTGCAGATTTCAGAAAACTTTGTACTGTAAACTAAACATCTTACCGTTTTAACATCCCCAAAAGTATCTTCATAGTGCCCTCCTAAATTGTCGACAACCATGAGTTCTCGGTCCTTGCGCTGTTTCCTTGAACTCTTGTTCACGACACCTGGAATCATCTTGTAAGACAACCTCGAATGATGCCATGAGTTTACAAAAGAGCTCCCCAAATCCAGAGACAGTGGTTTTGGTACCGCGTGCTTTCTTTTCATTGTAAACGTCCTTTGCATAATCAACTCCCCGCCAGTTTTGAGGTTCATCTTGGTGGACGGCAATGCATCCAGGCACAAACATGGACCGGTTTGAGAGTCCATAGCTGATGAACCCACCACAGATAAAGCTCCCGCCATCTTTTCTTGGTGACTCGAGCTCTCAAACTGACAACAATTGGATACTTTCAAAACACCTACTGATCAAGGTTTATTGCTTTGGTTTTTCTTGGTATTAACAGGAAAACAAAGAAAAATAAAGGATACCACCAACTGAAGAGAATAAAGAGTATGATATAGTTGTTTGGTAACTTGGTATCCAAGAAAATTGGGGGGGGGGGTTTGAAGATGGGAAGTCAAAGAGAAATTAAAGGGAAAAAAGTCTTTTTTTTGGGTTGGCTGCAGAGTGAACGTGTGAAGAATGAGGTGCTTTTGAAAGGGTAGGTGAAGCTTAACCACTAACCAGACAGATTTTGAGGTCCGAGACGCAAAATCAAAGATGGCTTAGCTTGCATGTGTTTGATTACGAGCTCCGACAAAAAGTAACAACCACCTTGACGGTTGCCTAGATTTGGTGGGTCTCTTTGTTATTTGCCATTTGTTTGAATATAATGAATTTTGCCGTATAAACGTGTCAAATTCATCAAAGATTCGGTACGACTAAATGTGTGTTTTATCTTCTCCTTTTTCAAATTTCAACCTTCAACGCAACGTGGGATCAGGTATATGTTACGTTTATAATTCTTCCAAGAGTTCAAAAACAGCTATGCATTTGAAAATAAATTGTATTCAAATTTGACCCTAAAATATGGAACGGGCCAAACCAACGAGAGACACTTGGCAACATAGTTTTTTTTTTTCATTATGCTAGGCGGACTAATTACTTAACCCAATATGCCACAACTAAAATTATTTAGGGAACTAAAAATTTTGTTCCAGTGTTTATGGAACTCGTTACGTCAACATGACGAGTTTCACTAAAAATTATATTTTAATAGACTTAGACATTAGGTCCAATATTTTATTATTTTTTTAAAACTCGTAATATCGTCATGACGGATACCATTAAAATAATTTTTAATTTAGAGATTCTCTTTTAAAAATAAATTTTCTAAAAAAATGGAACTCTACATGCTGACGTAACGAGTTCTAACGATCATTTTGATAATTTTTTATTGAATAAAAAAAATACTAAATTGAACATTCAAAGCATTAACTAATACATCACATTACATCAGAAACATTAACCCCTACATAACATTTGAAACATTAACTCATAAATTACATTACAATACAATATAAGGATTAAGTGGTTACTCACAAACATTAGTCTTCATAGTCAGTTGACTCATTAAGTTCTTCAATCTTCCATTCTTTCTCTTATTTCCTTTTATATATAAATAGTTCAAGTTATTGAAGTTCAACTTCTATATTATCAGATACGTCAGGAGATTTTGTTTTTGATGTGAAATGAGTTGCGGCTTGCATGTGATACTCGACAAATAAGTCAACATTACTCACCGAATTGGTAATGTATGTGTCAATCATTGTTCGAACTGCAACATCATTGTTTAGATAACCCATTGGCAAATGTTGTGGAACCAAAGAGGTTGAAAACCTGAACTGTAGTAAAAAAAATTGTTGAATATTCAGTAGCTCCAACCTTATTTGAAATTTTCGTTATCAAGTCAAAAAGTCGAATGTCTTACTCGAAAGAGATGATGAAAGATCCCCCTTACAATAACTTGTTCATGGAAAATTTCGGAATATGAACTTGAACAATGGAATTTTGTGTCTAATATAGGTGTGGTTATATATAGCATTGAAAAAGTTAAGGTGAATTATGATAGGTTATGATGAATTATTAAATATGTTTAAAAATCATTCAATTGTTTGATATATCAGTGAATTGAAGTGATATATCACCGAAAAGTTCAAAAATGAAGTGATTGTGCACTGAAAAGTTTTTGTCATTGTGCACTAAATGTTCTTTGAGAAAATGACTTTTTTTTATCAAAGCATTGATAAAAAACATCATACAATTGTCTGATACATCATTAAATTGAAGTGATATATCATTAAAAAATTTATGTCATTGTGCATTAAATGATATCTGAGAAAAATATGTTTTTCATTAAAGCATTGTCAAAAAACCATTCAGTGGTCTAATGTCTCACTGAATTGAAGTGATATATCATTGAAAAGTTTTTTTCGTTTTGCATTAAATGATCATTGATATAATAGCTCATTTTTGTTTTAAATTGGTTTATGTTTTGTGAATCTTCACAAAACTGCTACTTTTTACAATTTCATTGAAGTAATAGAAAATTTTCTCAAACAATGGTGAACAAATTTTCCACAGTTGTCCATTCCAATGGTCAAATTTTATAAACTTTTCGACGTTTTCTTATTCTCAATTTTCATATTATTATTTTCCATTATTCTCTATAAGTTGTTTGCTACGTCAGATTGGTAAGTCTTCATACTTCTTATTATTCTTAACGATTTTCATCTTCTTATTCTCTTCTTATGTTCACTAAGTATCGACTTTATTGTCTCTTTTGTCCACTCCTCATCTGAAGACGAGCTTGAATCCGAATTGTCGGAGTCTGAGTCATCATACCCAAAAAAACCGTGAATTGCTTCTCAAAATTTTGTCTTTCCCACTTCTCATATAAACTCCATCAACTCATTCCACTCATATTTATACAAAAAATGTATCAAAATGATCGTTAAAACTCGTCACACCTACAGAACGATTTCCATCAATTCAAAAATATGATCGTTACCCAAAGACTATAAACGATTACTTTTTTAAATTAAACGGAAATCGTCACCTCGGCATGAGAGTTCCTTTATTTTTTTATATATAATTTATTTTTTTAAAAACTATAAATTTAAAAAATATTATTTAATAAAACTCATCACGTCGATATGACGAGTTTTAAAAAAAATAATAAAATATTAAATCTTCTTAGTCTAATAAAACATATTTTCTAGTAGAACTCGTCATGTTGAGTTTTATGAATACTATAATAAATATCGTAATTCCTTGAATAATTTTCTTTGTGACGTATTAGGCTAAATAATTAGCTCGTATAGAGTATTCGTCAAAATAAACCTGACAACACATAGTATACGAATGAACCTAATTTTTTGGAACGGGCCCTCCGGCCCATGAACCTTTTTTTTTGGTCCTTTAATACTGCTTAGGGCAGCGGTCACACCCTGCCCAAAGCTTCTTCAAATCAAATATCAACACCCCGCATTCATAACCCTATGAAATCTCTCTCTCTCTCTCTCTCTCAGTTTTCTCTAGGATTTTGATTCTATCTGTTCATATTATTTTAGTCGCTTTATTTGTGATCTAGTTTTTGAGTCGTTTTGGTTCTTTTCCTACTAAACCCAACTTCATAACTCGCCTTAAGTTTGGCTTCTACCCCGTAACTGCAACAACTACACCATGATTTTTTCTTGGGTGGTTTCATGACAATTTGATTAGTTTTGTTGCTGTTTTTTTTTTAACTTTACCACCCACTTTCAATGGCACCAAGCAGCGGAAGAGGCAAAACAACAAGAAAAGCAAGCAAGCACAGAAGAAGAAGAGACACGAAGAAGCTTGTGAAGTCCAACAACTTCAATACTCAAACGACATCACCAGTGTCGGAGGATTTGCGTTCTGAGATGGATGGATTCGATCATAGTGAAGGAGTCGATGATATCGCTACTGCATGTCCATGCTCCACACCAAAAGCTAAAAGGTTTCGGATACCAGAGATCGACACATGCCCTCCAGCACCCAAGAAGCGAAGACCCCTTCCCTCAAATTGCTCATTGCGAAGAACTCCTATTGCTTTCTTTGCTCCTCCAGATATAGAGCTCTTCTTCGTCTGTGCATTTAGAGACATCTCAGTCTGATGATAAGTTCTAGCTTTTGCATAAAATTTGAATACCATTATTCTGTTTGATTTTCTTATAGTTTAGGGTTTTAGTTTATATCTTTGGAGCTTACAGTGTGAGATATGAATACTACTTTGAAGAAGAAGCAGCAGCCGGTAGCATTGCTACTTTTTTTATTGGGGGTGCTGCTAATTAATTTTAATAAGTAGAGTTTCAAATTTGTAGGGTACAGTAATCGCAAATTTAGCTTTAATTCCAACTTTTCTTTTTCAAAAGTAATGCTAATTAATTTTAATAAGTAGAGTTTTAAATTTGTAGGGTACAATAATCACAAACTTTAATGTTGAGAGGACGAATTTAAATTTATAAAATTTTAATAATTCGTACCTGATATCATAGGTTATGGAATGATACCTGACACCCAACTTTTGGAAGCACTATTGATAATGTGGTAACTAGAAAAAGGTTAAATAAAGAGAGTTGATTAATGGGTAAGTTGGTGTAATTTGTCGGATTTATATGTAAAACAAATAGAAGGAAAAAACTTTCCGCATAAAAGGTGTTCCCCACGTATGTTTCTTTACGGGTGAAGACTCGCACCAGCTGACCTCAGAGACTTTATTAAATAATGACGTGCTTGTTTTCCCTTTGAAAAACATATCATCAAGTCGGCTGCTCAACAATATATAAATTAGTTATTCCCCCGACGATTGCGATGGGGTTAACGGAGCTCAGCCCAGCGGTGGTAGGAGAATCCTAGGAAGAGACTCGTGCTCAATCACCCTTACTGTAACATCTAAAAATAATAATAATTTCTTTAATCATTAAGATAAATTAATTCATGTTGCAATAATTATTATTCATAAAAGCATTAAGAAATAAAAATGAATTAGATTAAAAATATTTACTTAATTTTTTTAAAAGATTGTGCAAGATAATACATAATCTTACCTTGTGTGTGTACATGAGAGAAGAAAAAGTACAAGAGGACATTGGGATGAGGGATATTAATGATATATAATGAACTGTTCGTCAAATTAGTTTATTTATTTATGTGGTGAATTTAATTAGCTGCATATGGATTATGGATAGATGTCATCACTCCAACGATGAATTCATGTTAATTATCGACTTCAGGTTGATTGTCAGAGTTAATTTGTTTAACATAGTTAGCTTTGCCAACTTTTTTGTAGAATCCGAGGTTGCCTTACCCACATACAAAACACTACTGTAGTTTAATATTCAACTCAAGGCACTTGGTGTGTACTCAACTCTCTCTTCTTTCAATTTTCTCATTTAAGTAGATTAAATAATATAAATTTTTTATAGTTTTCTATTATATACTTTTCTAAAAATACTTCACATTTATAAATTTTACACGTTAATAATTTATTATACATATATATTTTCTTCTCGGTTTCCTGACTAATCTGGATCAACCAGCATTGTATCCCTGACTTTTGGTGGATGAGTCTCCCAACATAAATTTTTTGCATACACACTCAAACTCGAGACATGCTTAAACGATATCAAGCTATTTACCACTTGAATTAACACGTTGATGATTTGTTATACATATTTTGACTCGCGTTATATCATATATTAATTATTTTTCTTATAAATTCTTTTAATTAATTTTATCCTATCAAAACTATCATGTCCATATGAAATAAAATTCAAATAAGACAATGAAATAAATGATTATCTTATTAAAGTTAAAAAAATAAAATATATACTATCATAAGACTACATTAAATTATTAAAGAAATGTATAATATTAATAATATGGATTTAGGCAATACTTCCATCTAGATTACCTTCAAATTTTTAGTGTTGTTAACCAATAAAAAGGTAAAAAAAATGCTAAAGAAAACATATATGATTTGATATTTGTCATCTCAACCTGTAATGTAACATATTTAACTCCACTCCTAATAAAATGAGTTTCACTGGGAGTTTGTCTAAAGGAGAGTATCCGAGGTTCTGGTAAAAACAGAGAACATGTGAAATGGTTTAAAAATCAAACCAGTGTCGATTGACAGGTTGAGTTGGGGCCTATAGAATCTTACTTACTTCAGTTCCGTTTAAAATTACGACGGTGTTGCACGAATTAACTTACCTAAATAATTAAAGGAATTGTTGTTGTTCTAGAGATCATTCGTTCGAGTATCAACGGTTGCAGCAAAATGATTTAGTTTTCATTATCAAACTGTCAAGGTCTTTCTCTTCTTTTCAAATACATGCATGTGAAGGATATTCTTTGGGAGATAAATTATTGGGTCGACCGACTACTTTGAAAAGGCTTAAACTTTAAAGCAAGTATCTACGTATCTCAATTCTCAAGACTTTGAAGCCAACAATAGGCTTATCTCAGACATATTCTTTATTAGTTGTACTACTAAAGGATCTGCATGCATGTCAATTGTCAAGCTCCAGAATTCTTAAAATATTTGGAAAACGAATGGAATATATGTAAACATCAGATTCAGACCCAAAGATATATAAAAAGGAAAAGCCAAATTCATTATCAGAGCAGAGGATTCTTCTGGAAATTTTGTGGCAGCTTTTATCCAACTTTGCTTTGGCCATTGCAGTATATCCAAATTCCAAACCAAAAGCAAATCAAAGATGGGTTGGGAAGGGCTCGCCCATACTCTTCAAAAAAACATAAAAAAAGAAAATTGCTTTGGCTTTTTAGACTGCTGCAGGAGTTCCACTACTACCCGGCACCTCAATAATCTCATGAGGTGAAAACTCTTCATATAAGCTTTACATTAAAGTAGATACATTTTCGGTTAATAATTGATCTAATCATTTACTACATCACATACTAGATCAGATGTTTTTAATTAAAATTGCGATTCCTTGATATTCTGCTGTTTCTCTTATGCTCATCGTCTGAACAAGAGAAAAAGAAGTACTTTCTCTTCTTTTCCTTCACCTTAATTAAATTCATCTGCTTTTCTTTCCTTTGTAAGGCACCCTTTGTTAGAAGATTAATTAACCCGTCTTGACATCTCATCTTCAAAATAATCTTTCAGAGAACGAGGGCTGAGTTTTAGAGATCAATGGGTTTTTATTTTTTAAAGAAAAACTTTGGGCCACAGATGCCCTTTGTTGAACAGATTCTTGCGAGAGAATAAAGTGTAAATTTGTCTGGGAATTGAAAAAGTTGAAGTTCTTATAAAAGGAATGACAAAAGCAGAAAAATAATACAATACAAAAAATCATGCAAGGCCTGCTTGGCGACACTGTGAACATGTTCTCCTTGATTTATACATATTATCATAAGTTGATGACTGCTAAAATGCGTGTATGTATTGTGCAAAATTTACCTGGTGATTTCTGATCTTCAGCAGGTGTTATTTTTGAGTGTATGTGCTATTCATTCCTTGACTTTATCTTTCTCCATCTTAAGATATTAACCAAGATGAGCAAAGTTTGATGAATGTTCTCTTTAGTATGTAGTCCTACTGTATATTCTCTTCTTTTTCATATCCTCCATAGCTGAATATTAAGGGAAAGGAACTACTTTCTTTTCTTTTCCTTCTTCTTTCATTTCCTTTTTTTTTCTGGCCATTAAAATGCATTCAAAGATGGAAAAGCATTGATTCTATTGTCATCGTAGAATAATAACGTTAAGAGCGTCTATAAGATCGTAATGTTACCTTTGGTCCACAATTCCCCTTTGTTGAACATTCTTTAATATGGAGATAAAGCAGTGTGTGTATATACGAAACTTTGAAGAAATGCGTGCTTCAACATCGGTCATATGTGTACAGTATCATAACATCGAATTGTATTTATAATTCTAAAATAATTAAAATTTTAAAAGATAAATTACGCATGTTATAACCGTTACGTGTTACATAACGTTCGTAATTACGATATCGTATCTGTATCCTCAACCATTAACCAATATTGTAATCATATTTTAGTACCATGTAAATGTGCACTAAATACATGTGCTCCAGCACTAAACGTGGGAGGTATATCCAGAAATATCCAACCAATCCATGGAATTTGTTGTGTTTGATCAAAAGCTTGGTTGATTCTTACATAATCTCTTTGCTGAGATCTTTGGTATTATTGCATATTCTGTTCTCCAACACTACTTTCTTTTCTTTTATTTTTAGCTTTGTTTTTCTGGGTGTCTGCAACTAGGGGAGAGAGTGTGGTGGTGAATGATTAATTGAAAAGAAAAGAATTCCAACTCATGCATGTATATGCATGTATGTATCTTTTTTAATGCAAGAGAAGAAGAAATTAATGAATGGTGTCTTTTTGTATATCAGAAATTTATGCTGCTGCCGCTTGGTCCACTAACACTAATAGCACCCTTTATTCACCTTGTTGGACCTTTGTTTTTCGGGTGGGGGATAGATAACCTAAGCTACAAATGATTGGAATCCATGCATCCTCCAAAACCATAAAATTTTCTCATGCCTCCATCAATGGTTGAACTTCAATCAAGAGCAGCATTATTTATTTATTTATTTAATATAATTTTAATGTATGAATTACATTACATCCCTTATTAATATGTGTAAATTCAACTCTGAATGGTAATAGAACTCTCAAGTAGTTCAATCTTATGGTAATTAATTATAAATTTGATCTTAGCTTATAAAAGAGTATCGATGGAAATAACAATCATATGGTCAAATTTAATTTTATTTGGCTATGAACAATACAATGAACCCATGATCCTCACCAAATCGACCTCTTTCATTATTTTTATATTATTATTAAGATTAATTATCATTTATAAATATGGGTAAAATTGTCCCAATAGTCCACACGAGTAAAAAAAAGTGTATTAAGTCGTCTTCAAAAATAATTTAAGAATTGCGGCAAATGCTACAGTACATGACAAACTCGTCACACTCACATGATGAGTTTGCTCAAATAATATTTTTTATTTAAACTCGTCACGTGGACACGATGAGTTCTAATAAAATATATTTCTTTTTATTGGATTTTGTCACTTCGGAATTAAAAATTTCAATAAAAAATATATTTTATTAAAACTCGTCATGCCAACTTGTGATTTCCAAGTCACTGTAACAAATACTATAGTTCGAAAAATAAAATAAAAATCTAATGCGACTAAATAATTAACTTGCAGAGGCCCAGACCCAATCAATATCCAGTCCGTCAGCTATTGTTATGGATCTAATTCAACAAGTTCATTAATTAAAGGGGAAAATGTCATCTACATATCAGAGGGACCAATTTCTAACACTATTGCATCTTATCCAAGACTGGAATGCTGCATGCTTGCCTGGAATAAGATTCTATCAATACTTTTAGTTTGGGATTCGAAAGAAAAAATAGCAGCTCCTAGCCGACGACCCATTAAGCTATGAAAGCCCAATAAATTTCAGACCACAGGCCCGACTTACTGCAATTCAAAATATCCGGATCTTGAGTTCAGTAGCCAGCTAATCACTAACACTAATTTTTAGAATTTATATCGATTTTATCACTAGATTTTAAATTAATTAAATTATGTCATTAAATTTTAATTTTAACTTCAATTATAACATCAAATTGGTAATCCGATAACAACTAGGTGATGTGGTAGTTTGACGTTAATGTGATGTTTGCATCGAAAGCTAACATATTTAATTTTTGATTTACCTCATAATCATCTTCGTTAAAATTACGATATTTTCATCTATTTTTTCACATTATCATACTATTAAAATTTAACGATCTAATACTATAATTGAAGTTAAAATTAAGATTCAAAATAATAATTAAAAACTTAAACATATAGTAGTATAGATGACATAACCTGAAATTCAATATTATTTGATAGAATTTACCCTTAAATGAAAATGAGAATTTAATGCAGTATCATAAAAATGATCCTCTCCTTTTCCAATAGAAAAAGGGAATAAAGGCGTAAATAGAAACAAAAAGTAGCGACGAGATTGGAGCCGCCCACGCGTCAATAGAAGGAGAGGGTGGGTAAAACCTGGAATCGTAACAGTAGGTGACGCAATCAAAGCTTAACACTCACATTTGGATTTAAATAATAATGTTTTACCGTCATTTTTTTAATAGTTTTATTATTTAAATTATAACAAAATCGATAACATTTTTTTAAAAAGTATATTAAGACGGTTACATGTAAGTATTTTCCTCCTTGCTTATTTTTTCAAATGTGAGTGTTAAGCATAGATTTGTTGATTACATGCAGAACAGGAAATAAGAGTTTTGAATTATTCTTGAAAGAATTATCAGTGAAAAATGCTAAGCTTAGAGGTGGCTTTTGAGAGACCAAGAAAAGAACTTTGCTGGGACTTTAAAATGCTTTTTTTTAATTTTTAACATTTTAGGAAATGTTTGTATGCTTGATATATTTTAAGGGAACTGCTTTCCCTTTTAGTTTGGAGCTGGTTTTGGGAACCCCCCGGGTCTTGGTTTTTTGGTCCATATGGAAATCTCGAAATGAGATTATATTTCGCAACTGCTCAATCGATGCTGTGATGATCGTTTTTTAAACAAAGTTTCGACTTGTGTCATGGTACAAGGTATGTTATCCTTCGCCCTCCATCCCCTTCGACAGTCTTGTTAGTGACCTATCGCTGGCTGACGGTTCTTCGGGGTTTTCTGCCCTCACGATGGAACAAGAGAGATGGTCTCCACTGCCACCTGGTTTTATTAAGATTAATGTTGACGGAGCCACAATGAATTCTTGGGGTAAAGGTGGTATCGGCGGTCTGTCTCGTTATCTAGCTTCGATTTCAAAGGCAGTAGGGCAAGGTCCTCCTGTGCTGGCAGAGTTATTAGCTATTAAACAAGGCATCTCTATGTTCTTCGATTTGGAAGTTAACAAGAAGAATAGGTTGATCGTTGAGAGTGATTGTAAGACAGCTTTAGACTGGGTAAAAGACCCTCTATTATGTCCCGGACCTTTCTTGGATCTGGTTGGAGATATTGTATCAGTTATTAGAGAACGGGTAATTGTATTTTGTTGTGTTAAGAGGAGCGTTAATGCGAAAGCTGATGAACTAGCAAAACAAGGAATAGGGTAGAGGTTTCTGTCTTTTAGGAGGTTGGGGATCATTGGGCTGGTCACTGGTTGTAGATGAAGTGTGAGATTCTCCTTGTTTTAGAGAGGTTTATAATGATTTTTTGTATTGATTCCCTTGTAAATGATTCATTTGGTAATAAAATCGGATGTAATCTTTTCCTCCTTCCTCTACTTTTCGGATAACTTTATAGTATTCTGAAAAGCATGAAGGAGAACGAGACTTTCGATTTTTATAAAAAAAATTATTGCTCCATGATACTGACGTTTTAAGTTCCCTTCCCAACTACGGAAGATAAAAGGTGGCTGGTGAACGTTGAAAAATGGTTACTTAATGAACAGTGTGTCATGTTTTACATGTTAGTTTGAAATGATATTGTTTTCTTGTTTTTTAAGTGGGCTGTTTCCTTCCATCCTTTGCTTTGCCTTTCCCCCACCTTTTCTTTCCTTTGTGTGGTATTGTTATTTAGGGGATTCACGTGGGACACAAGGTAAAAGTGTTTTGTTTTCTTGTTTCGGGTAAGTGGTTGTTTCTTTCCATCCTTTGCTTTGCCTTTTCCCCCCTCTTTATCTTTCTTTTGTGTGGTATTGATATTTATGGGATTCACATTTCTTTTGTGTGGTATTGATATTTATGGGATTCACATGGGACGCAAGGTAAAAGGGGAATCTGATTGGGGCTTAAATTTTATGTTTGTTAGCAGGCATCAGTCTCTTGCTTCTTCTTTTTTCTGTTACTACCTTTTTTAAAAAATAATGTGATGGAAATATATGTAGCTAGATCACTCGTTTTGGTGAGATTCTTTGCTTAAGAACCTTCTTTTCATTCTCGACAGTCGAAACATGGTATACTTTCTAAGGAATAAATGTTTGAATTGACCAGGGTTATCCTCCATTTGTTGGAATGCCTCATGCCAGAATGGCTTTGCCTATTGAGAAGGCACAAGAACCGGTTTACGTGAATGCCAAGGCAGTACCAAGGAATTCTAAGGCGAAGGCAGGCACGTGCCAAAGCAGAACTTGAGAAAAAGGATATAAAAGTCCGAAAGGTAGATATATACTTGCATACTCCTTCACTTGGACAATCTATGCACTTTAACAAGGGATCTTCAAATAATTTATTCCTTTTGATGTCCCACATTGAATTACATGATAATTAGAGTTTGAATGGTGACTTAGTGAGACACATGTTATCTTTATTTTTATTTAAATGTGGCTCTACTTTTGATCCATATGCATGGCATCTTACCTCTATCCTTATAATCTCTGATCTCCAATATCCTACAGCCATATCTTCATGAATCTAGGCACGGGCATGCTATGCACAGGGCGAGAGGTAGTGGAGGACGTTTTGCAAAGAAGACAGTTGCTGATACTTCAAAACAGATGGCAGAAGGAAAAGGAACAGGTTCAGGTCATGCTCTGTCATCTCAATCTGCTAGTTCATCTGGTTCTAAACCATTTCCGGCTGATTTTGTGGCAACCCGGAACTTCACCCTCAGCCAGCTGGAAGCAAGAGGATCACATAAGCATGACATCCATCATATCAACAGCGGTGGTCATTATCAGAAATGAGTTGGTAGTATCTCCTCTAACCAGGCCTCGCATAGGCCTCTTGCTATCCAGTGAATTGGAGAATGCCCTTTCAGAAGCTGAAGGGCCAACTCTAAGACTGTTTTCCATGATCCCTCATCTTGATTGTCAAGGCGGCAAATCATTCTTGGCTTTCGTATTTGCTACCAGGTTGTGGATGCAAGGGGAGTAGAGATTGCAAGGGAACAAAACAGGTTTTTTGTCTTGTCGGTGCTTCTCTTTCCCCAGTTGCATTCCTGTTCAGATATTGTTGAATAAAACTCATAACTTCGTTTTAGTTTGTGGGGTGATTCCATTTGTCATTTTGAGTTGAGACGTTTACTTTTCTTCAAGCCTGTATCTGCTGCACTTTGTAGATTGGATTAACAATGTTATTAGTTTGCAATTTCGGACATTTAAACATAGGTGCTGTTTTAAAGATTGGATATATGAACTTAGTTTATTTTGTATAATCATCTGTATCAAATCCGATTATCATTGATCTTGATCTGGTATTAATCATACCAGGTGATTGCAGCAGCAATGCAACTAAATTAGCAGGCGGAGACATGGAACAACTTTATCAAAGGTTACCAAAACATAAAGCACATCAAACGTCTTAATGGATGTATAGTTTATAACATCCCAAGACATCGCTGCCCTATAGTTAGTGCTGTGACCTACCCTTCAAAAACACCAACTTAATAAATAACCGCCTTATTTCTCTTTTCCTCATTTGATATCACACTTTTTTCGACAAAGTCCAACAAAATGCACCATGAACCATCTAAAACAAAATCTATCACATGCTATCGTTCTCATGTTGATCCGGTTGGTCCAAATTTCCCGTTTCATCTGCAGAAGTTGACTGTGAGGTTGCATTGCTTTCGTTTGAAAAATTGTTGTTGTTTTCTGTAGCATTGAATGCCGTCTGTTTGTCCATCGTCCCGGACAGAGCCAGGCTTGGAGACCATTCAAGGACATCGTCAATTATATTTGACATTCGCTTTTGATACCTGCAAGGAAAGTGTAAATTTAAAATTTCAGATGTATGATGGCAAACGATTCCAAGAACAATAATGGTCCAGAAAAGATTGACCCGTTTAACATTCCAAACAAGTGTAAAAAAACGAGAGGAAAAACTGTAACTGCCAAGGACTAAACAACCTCATAATAACCCGATTTCTATTCACAGTACTGCCAAACAACATAAAACAAGGCTCGTTCTAAGTAAATATTTTCACACACTGTCTCATTTTTTACAGCAATAAGATGATTGAACTGCAGGGTCAAACAACATAAAACAAGGTTCGTTCTAAGTAAATATTTAAAGAGCAGATATGGAGCTGACCTTGCTCTAGCAGCCTCATTAGGGGCATGGTGCCTCAGCAACAATATGACCAACATCGCCACTATTGCATAGAACAGCCTTGCTGTCCATTTCGGTCGCTCTTCTTCATCTTTTTTGGGCCAAAAACGGAATAATTCTCGCAATGTTGCCTCCTCGGCAAGAATGTTGGGGAAGAACCAAACACGTTTTCCTAGAATTATCCATGCAGCACCAAATATTGCAGCTCTCACTGCAAATTTTATAATTAAAGAAAAAGGCAAAGACAAAACATGCAATTGCATAAATCAGACCAGATATATAAATATAGAACCGAAGAAGTAAAATTTAACTTAAGCCCTAAAAGATCTTGGTCTCTGTTTTGACGAGCCCTAAGGTTTCAATCTCCCTTTGATGAGCTGAGAAGTTTCAATCTCCTTTCAAAAAGATGAATCATTAATCCGAAACACAGGATCCTAAGATTGTAACACTACTACTACTTTAGTCACACACAAGAGGCTGAGGAAGACAAATCACATATTTTCTACCAATCCTTAATATTATCGGTGACAGATGTTTATTGGCAAGAAAAACACAACAAATCGACCAACTGTAATTGGAATGACAACAACGACAACAAAACCATATTCCCATATGCAATGGGCTAAGGGAGAGGTAGGGTAGTAGGCTGCCCCCAACGCCAGGCTGAGAGCAGCTTCCGTGAAGAGCTCTGGCAGTCAAAAAATTAAAAATTAAAATAAAATACAATGTATGTATAAATAAATAAATAAATACATAGTTGAACAGTCTTTATATACAGTCTTCAGATGCGCGTCTGTAATAGGAAGATATCCTTGCAAATAAATTCATTCCTAAAAATCTCTGCATATAGACATAAACGTAAGACCCGACTAAATTTAAAAAGAGGAAACATAAAGAGAAGAATACACAGAAGTCAACGATAGCAAGCTACAAGAATGAGTAAAGTCAAATGTGTTAAAACCTAAACTAAGGCAACACTATTCCGCTACCCTAGTTCTAAGCTTTCTTAAATTCCAATGACAAAAACGTATAAAAAGTAAAAGTCATGGAAATTACTACAAAGACATTAAAAGAAGACAGAGATGATACACCCTATGGATGTGACCTGCACTACTCAGCTACCATGGTCTTAAGTCTTAATACTTTCCTATCAGAGATCATGTCCTCGGTAAGGGCTAAATCCTTCAAATCAGATCTCAAGCAATCTTCCCACTTCCGCCTTGGTCGTCCTCTCCTTCTGGCACTGTTGACTGTAAACAACTCTACCCTCCTGATCGTATCCGACGGTTGTCACCTAAGGACATGCCCAAACCACCGTAGTCTTCCCTCCCTCAATTTTTCGGATACAGACACCATCCGCGAGTACGTCCTAATAGCAGAGTTTGGTGTCATGTCCCACAGAGTCCTACCACATGCCCATCGAAGCATTCTCATTTCTACGGCCTCCATCCTCCTTACGTGATCCTTCTTGATAGCCTAATATTTTGATCCATACAGTAACGCTGGTCTTATTGTCATTCTATAAATTTTCCCTTAAGTTTTAGAGGCACCTTCTTGTCACACAAAACTCCAGTAGCAGCCATCCACTTTAGTCATCCCGCCTTTATACGGTGTTAAAGTCATCACCTACACCCCCATCTTTATGTATCATAGACCCTAGGTACTTGAAACAATCTTTTGAGGGGAGAACGTGTCTTTCTAAGCACACTTCTACATCTTCATCGTTTTGGTACCCACTGAAGTTTGAACATAAATACTCTGTCTTTTCAATATTGATCCTTAGACCTTTTTCTTCCAAAGCAGTCTTTCAGGTAGTCAGTCTACTATTCAACTCAGTTTTTGTTTCAGCAACTAGGACAATGTCGTCAGCAAAAAGCATACACCATGGAACACCGTCTGGTGTCGCACAATAGATGTCGTCCATAATCAAGGCAAAGATGTAAGGGCTAAGAGCCGACCCCTGGTGGAGTCCGATTTCCACCGGGAATGCCTCGGTGTCGTCAACTGTAGTCCTGACGTATGTAGTAGATCTACAGTACATATCACGAATCGCCCGGCTATAAGCAGTTGTGATTCATCTCGTTTCTAAGGTCTTCCAGATCGTATCGCGGGGAACGCTATCATACGCCTTCTCAAGGTCAATGAACGCTATGTGAAGATCTCTATTTTTTTTCCTATATTTCTCCATAAGCCGTCGAAGTAGATAAATCGCCTCCGTAGTATACCTGCCTAGCATAAAGCCAAATTAGTTTTCCGAAACCCTAGTAACATGTCTCAACCTAGCCTCTATCACCCTTTCCCATAGCTTTATGGCATGCCTGAGTAATTTAATACCTCTGTAGTTGCCACAACGTTGGAGATCTCCTTTATTCCCATAGATTGGAATGACCGGTGATTATATGATCCTAGCATAACATTCATGACAATAGGAAACAAAACCTCCAATGGAGAAAAAAGGCATTGCCAACAACATATCCTTGCTCAACCTGAAAATCAAACTAACTACTGCCTTCCTCAGCCAGCATCATTCAATTAAATTTCTTTTAACTTGGTAAACCAAATAACATTTAGTTTTTAATAGAATCAAAATGCACTAAATATAGTAAAAGAGCTAAACAAATTACATAAAAAAGTAAATATTAATATAAAATAATATAAAAAAACTGAATAGAGAAAACTTACATAAAAGCAACGAGAGAATAAGTAGAAGCGCTCCCGCACAACAGTAGAGTATAAGTAATTTGCATCGATGTGGATACACAGGAAACAAGCAAATTGCAAGCGTCAACACAGGCCAGATAAATGAGAGAATTGTTTGCCACAATGGCCGCCGTTTTACGAATGTCCATGCAAAAAACGCATCATTTTCAGAGAACACTTGTTCCTGCAGAAAGGTGAGGGTAAATCCACAAAACAAGGTGGCATTAGTTTCAACAAGATATTTGATTCTGATTTTTCAAAAATAAAAAAAGAGGAAGAAATTTGTTTCGGCAAAATAATCACAACATGGATGATAGAACAGAGACGACATAAATCAAATAGCTGTACAGGTCTAGTCTGCATTTAGTATTGTGGAGGAATGACTCTTTGCATATATCAAGATGATAACACAAATATGCATACAATATATATACATGTTTGTCTATCAGAAATTGAAGCAGCTACACAACCATAGAGTAAAAGAAATGATTTTATAGATTATTTTAAAGTTAAGCGGTTAAAAGACTCACAGGGAAAGTTTCTAAATGTGCAGGCCAGGTAGACAACTTCTTCTTCCCCGGACGAACAGTTTTCACCACCCGGTCACAGCGCACCAAAAGATTTTTTTGTAACAAAATATCAGCTATATCTTCAGTTTCTAGATTTCTATCCGACTCGAGTATCTCTTTAAGCTCAGAACGATTTTTCATAAAGCTTACAAAATCCTTCCCTCTGAAATATTCAACACGAGTTTCCTGCAAGACAGCCCATCTAGAAACCAAATCTTTGTGGTCCCTCACTTTCTCAGCAAACAACTGAAACACATCCTTTTTTGCAGCTTTTTTCTGCTCAGAAAGGAAATTATACCAAAAAAAGAAAACAACAAACACATAATTCATGAATTATGTTCAACAATAAGTGCTTGGCAGTGCATGCACACTGAAAAACAAGTAATGCAAAAATCCATTTCACAAAGATCAAAGTCAAATACAAAAGGCGATACCATCAGTTAGACGGTCAAGCTGTTATCATAGATTTTTACAGCATTAGTAAGTTAAATTACCATTTTGTTACACCGTGGAAGCAACATTTTTCCGAGACAACATATTATAACGATCAAACTCCTGAGCTTACAAAATATTCTACCATGTCCTCTACATAGAGTTCCTCTTTAAGAAAAGAATTCCATACTATGACGATCACGCTCTTAACATATTTTAGCAAAAGTGGAAACATAGGATATCCGAAAATGAAACATTTGAAAATGGAGCCTGAGAATCTATCCGCTTTAGTGATAAAGATAATCAAACAGAACAGTTCCAAATAAAATAAAATCAAATAAATAAAAGAGCCTATATAATTTCCAGCCTCAATTCCTCAAAAAAAGAAAAAAGGAAACGGTAGTGCGCTGATTGAGCTGGTGCAAACAATTAACACGAATCGGTATCCATCTTTCGTTTTTTTTTTAAATGGAAATATTTATATATACTTTTACTTGTTCAAGGAAATGAGTAGTGTTTATATTAAAATTCAAATAAAAAAGTAAATGTCTACCAAAGACGAAAAAACAAACTAGATCAAAGAAGAAAAAAGAGAAAGAAGAAAACAAACCCTAGGAGGTGTGCCGGAGCCTGGATCTCTGCTGACGTTTTGTACTGACGCCGAAGATCTTCGGGTTTTCTTCTTCTCTGCTCCTGATTTCTTCATTCCTCCTTTTTCCCGTTTTTGCTTCTCTCTCTTCTAATTTTTCGATTTCACTCTTCTTTATTATTTTCTTTTCGTTTTCTTAATGATTGTTTGTCTTTTAATATAATCATTCAGCGTTAAATGTTGAACCGTTTAGTATTCAGTGTATTTATTTCGTATCTTTAAATAATTTATTGTTGACTGATTTAGTAAAACAATACTGAATGATTCAGTACAGAAATACATTCTGAATCATTCAGAGCCAGTTATCAAACAATATGTCACATTTAGAACTAAATTATTCAGAGTCTCTAAATCATTCAACATTTAAATCATTCGACGCTTAATTATTTTGAAATAAATAAACAGTCCTTAAGTGCATATAATTTAATAGTAAGAATGAAAAAATAATTATATCATGATACGTATATTAATATCAAAATATTGAGACTGAGAAATGTTCCAAATTACTACTACAAATATATGGTAATATTAACAAATTTCAGATAATAAATTTAAATTATTTTTTTAGAAACCTGAAATCTTTAAATTAATTTGTAGGCTAACTTTTTTACTTAAAAATGGATAAGTTACATGTAGAATTTTTTTTGATTAATAAGTAAGAATTTTAATTTTATTAAACAATTCAATTAAATCATATTATTTTGGTCGGGGTTGAGGGAAATTAAAAAGACCTAAATAACCCTCACACTGCTTCCCTTACCGCTCAGTCTCCATTATTTGTTGCTTCGAAGCAAGCATCCATCACCATTTCCTCCGTTCTCTCTTTTCAGAACCAAACACTCAACACTTACTACACTTCAACATCAACATGGCGCGAATATTATCAATAATTTTAATGCCAAGAAAAATACCGACCTACCATCATCGTCTTCTTGGGTTGTTCACGCGGTGGAGAAAGCTGCAGAGCAGTTTGAAGTAGACCCAGAAAAGGCTAAAGAAGCCCTCCAAAAGCTTGACCAGCAGCTTCAAACTCTATCCAATAAACAATTCAGCACCCCTAAGATCAGAGGTAGCTAATATTTTCCCCTCTTTCTTTTTTATAATCTTCAATTCTCTGTTGTTTTGTTGCTTATATTTTGGAAACTGTAAGTGGAAATCTGTTGTTTTTTAGTTAGTAATTGAGTTCACGGATTCAGTTTGGGTTTTGTTTTAGGTTAATTTTCTTTTACCAATGCTCTGTCCTGAAACAAGTGATTTTTTCTCCCAAAGAAATCAAGTGAATAGGTTAATCAGTAGGGTCAAGCAGCAAGCAAGTAATAGCATCGATTTGGGTTTAGTCCGATTTATTCATTTAATTTCCATTAGAGATGACATTTGTCGGATTTGAAGTTCGAATTTCAACATCCACACATGCTTCTCTTATCTTAGACTCCGACGTTCTTTAGAAAAATAGTAATAACAACGGCATCAAGTTTGCGTCTGCTCTGTTAACTTATGCAAATGATGATCGACAATTTTCTTCCTTGTACCTCCTTCCCTTTTTCAAACTATGAAATTCTGGTTACACGTTTACAGGCCTTTGATTGTGTGATTACCTTCTAGCTCTGAACGGTTTAGAATTGTAACAGATGGAACGATAAAGAAAAAAGCTATATGGTTCGTGGTTCCTTTACTAGAAATGCTTATCTTAAAGGTTGGACAAAGCTGTGCTATCACCGATAGAAAATACAAAGGAGATATCTAAATTAAATGAGAATTTAGTAACATGTTTACTTTTAACTGATTGCAGCTTCGGATGTAAAGCTTACAAGGGATGAAATGGTAGAAGATAGCCCAGAAGTTTCAGGGTCTTCCCTAGCATATTTAACCGTTGCTCTCCTTACTTTCACAATCTTTTACAATGTGCTGTTTTATTCGGCGATAAAGCCGTCCATCGATGGACCGGACTCGGTTCCTCAACCTAGCATTAGCCAGACTGAGTGAGGAGGTGCAGCAGAGCAGTTTTGCTGTAGTTGTCCACTCCACTCCTTCCGCCGTTAACAGTTAACTCCACAAGTTTCTTCCCTTCCCGGTGGTGTATCAGTTGATGTTTGCTTAAGAGCAGTTTTCTATACATGTAGTTGAAAGTCGAAGCATGTTTTAGCAAATATTAAAAAATAGGGGTGTAAACGAGTTGAGTCGTTCGAGTATTGCTGAGCTCGACTCGACTCGAAAACTCTAAAATAGAGCTTGACTCGACTCGAAAACTCGCGAGCTTAAAATTTTTAAGCTCGACTCGAACTCGAAATCTTGAACTGATGCTCGTGAGCAGCTCGAAAAAGCTCGAAATGAAAAAAAATCTTAAACTTAACAAGATTGAATACTCAAACTCGAACTCGAACCTGAAAATTAAATACATGAAAACTTTATTGTATTTTTTTAAAAAAATCAACACATAAATGTTAATATTATTAATAATTTATTTTTAAAAAATAAAATTTTAATATATTATATTTTCGAGCTACTCACGAGCTTTTCGAGTCGAGTATTAAGTAGCTCGTTTCGGCTCGTTAAGAATTCGAGTCGAGATCAAGTTGAGTCGAGTCCATTCGATCCGAGTATTTATCGAGACTTGATCGAGTCGATCTCGAATAGCTTGCGATCTGTATCGTCTCATTTACAGCCCTATTCAAAAAAACAAAGCAAATGTAATATGTAAATTTTGAAGCAGTCGATGGGAATCCCCTTCAAAATTCGAAGATACTTCTTCAAATTCATTAAAGATTTAGGTCCAATTATTTTAAAAGGTTATCTCAAAAATAAATTTTATTCTAAAAAAAATATTTTGAATATCATTGTTTATTTTTTTTTAGAAAATGGTTGATTTGAGAAGTAATAAAGAATTTACTCTTAATCGCACACGTGGTAATAACACTTCAATTAATTGCGTTAAGCTCTTTATAAGAGAAATATACGGCAATGGGCGAATGGGGGGGGGGGGTTAACCACTAAGGAAGGGTGCGATACGAGGTTGTTTGTTAAATATAGAAAACGCAAACACAGCAGTTGAAAACGCAACTGTGGGAGGAGGAAGAATTGACGATCTGCAATTCCCATCCACAAAAGAGACAACACTATCCCCTTCCCCCAGAAAAAGGGAAAACAAATAGAAATTATGAGTACCGGAGAAGGGAAAACAGTGTGCGTGACTGGGGCCTCAGGATACATTGCTTCTTGCCTTGTTAAGAATCTTCTCCTTCGCGGTTACACCGTCAAAGCTTCAGTTCGTGACCCGAGTATGCTCTTTTTCTTTTCTTATATCATTTCGTGCTTTTCCTTGTTTCATGATCTTCATGTTTTTTCTGGGCTTTGAATCTCTCTTTTTTAGTCTTTTTCAATGTTAATTATTGTATCCTTCTTGTGATTTGCTAGTGCATGCAAAAAAAAAAAAAAACTGCCATTTTGTCGACATTGTAACATATTTCTATGCTCCGATTGAATACTTTGGTGAGATTGTTTGTGTAGCAGATCCATCATCACGGAATAACTGTCCTTTTCTTTTGCATTGCTCTTGTTTGTTAGTGTAAGAGTTACCTAGATGTTTCCTAAACCGTTTCAATTAGTAGTTATTCTTCATCGATAGGTGATCCAAGAAAGACACAACACTTGCTTGCACTTGAGGGTGCCGAGGAAAGGCTGAAGTTGTTTAAAGCAGACTTATTGGAAGAAGGCTCCTATGATTATGCTGTTGAAGGCTGTGAAGGTGTTTTTCACACAGCATCTCCCTTTTATCATGATGTCACAGATCCACAGGTTGATGTTCAATCCTTATTGTATCCACTGTGTTGTTTTCTATTGTGATTCGGTAAAAGATGCCTATCCTCTCAAGTATTCTTTATCACAGACATTCTAATCTTCATAGTTTCAAATGAAGGCTGAGAGAATTATCAACCATACATGACTTCTGATTGTTTCTAAGTGATTTCTAACTACTTTCTTGATGCTCTCATTTTCAAGGAAACGAACTTCATTGTAGCAGTTGGCTTCATTATTTTTGAACATTTCCTTTCCTTTCCTTTCTTTTGGGGAACGAGCTTCTTTTTTGAACATTTCATTATTTTTTTTATCATACGGAAAGGCGTAATCCTTTTTATGATATGTGTAACTTTTGGGGGCTTATGTAGCAGTGCAGAGATATTAGGAGAGGATTTTGAAATAAACCGGGTTTTGGTTCTGGTATATATATCGGGTTATGTGATACAAGAATTCCATGTGTTTTTGCTCTTTGTGAACTCAACGTATATAGTGGATTTGTATTCTCATCCATGGTAATGAGTAATGACAAGATCAAACAACGATAAATTTTGCTTCTTGTGCTTATATTATTTCAGGTTAATCTCGCTTTAATTATTTTTTATTTTCAAATTACTAAGGAGTTTACCAACTTTTTTTCTTGACTCGGCTTTGACCATCTCTTCTCGGTTAATAAGCTTTTAACTTTTCATTCCTCTTCTCAGACAGAACTACTCGATCCTGCTGTGAAGGGAACACTGAATGTTCTGAACTCATGTGCTAATACCTCTTCTGTCAAACGAGTGATCTTGACATCTTCTATAGCTGCAGTCACTTATAATGGGAAACCTCGAACTCCAGATGTCGTGGTTGACGAAAGTTGGTTTACCGATCCTGAGTACTGCAAGAACTTAAAGGTGAGTACATATACTATACATCTGATGGCATTTTGAGATTGGTGTTGTGTTTTATATGTAACTTAAACCTGTTTTGCTGGAATTATTATGGAAAAAGAAACAAAAAAGGGATTTGTATATGGAGATACATTTCAATGAAAGTATATTATGTGCAAATTGTTCATTATTGGGCTATGGGTAGCTCTATGAATATCAGTAGTTAGTTGCTGAAAAACAAAGGTAAAATCATGCGAAAGACAACAACATTCATTGTACTCACTTTTATTTTCTTACTTTTTTTTTACTAATGCTTGATGATAGGTCAAGCTTGTATCAAATGTGAATTTGAGCTAGTTGCTAATCTAGCTTATCAATGCTTGTTCTATCAGATTGCAGAATTGATTCCAAATTCATAGTTTCTATAGGTTTCCAGTCTCAATATAAATAATTTAACTGATAATTTCTTTAGGTATTTTGCTTCAAAGCATCAGTGCAAGTTAAGTTCGAGATGATATCTTATTTTAGCAGCTAATTAGTGACCATCATGCACTTTTAGCATATTGAGGATATTGATCACTTTCGTAACTTCTTTTCCTGGTTGCATGAACCGGCTAGTTGTTGGCTTGTTTGTGCACTATACAATTTGTTCATGCTACAACTTAATATTTTAGTACATCAAACTGTTTCTTTTATAATAAGAGGGTATTATTTCTGAATGTCATCTTTTTAATTCAGCTCTGGTATGTAGTCTCCAAAACCATAGCTGAGGATTCTGCCTGGACATTTGCAAAAGAGAAGGGCCTTGACTTGGTTGTCATAAACCCAGCAATGGTGATTGGTCCTCTTTTACAGCCAACACTTAACACGAGTGCTGCAGCAGTTTTAAGCTTAATTAAAGGTAATTTTTCCAGGGTACCATTTGCCTTCGCACATTGAACATGCCATTTGCTTTATATTTGATGAACAATATTATTTGCCCTGGTTATTGAGAAAATAAAAAGGGAAAAAAACACACATTCTTTAATGATCTGAAGTACACAGTTAACCCTTTGCTTCCCTGGTAACTGTCGGTTGATTTAAAGGAAAAACCAATAATAAGACCCTCTGGGAATTTATTTTGTCCAAGTTACAGCCGCTGAGGTTATTAATCTCCTGTGTTGTTTCTGCAGGAGCGCAAGCATTCCCAAATGCAACATTTGGATGGGTTAATGTAAAAGATGTTGCAAATGCACACATCCAGGCATTTGAGATTCCATCAGCTAGTGGAAGATATTGTTTAGTGGAGAGAGTTGCACATTGCTCGGAGGTTGTAAATATGTTAAGAGAGCTTTATCCTTCTTTCCATCTTCCAGAAAGGTAAGTTTCCGGCTTCTAAATTTTAAAAGCATACTTCTTGACTACCTCTGAGCCACATGTGCTTCCCTTTCCCTCTCTCTATGGAGCACTTCCCTTCGTTTTCAAGCCGAAAGTTCATGATGGTTTCGAGTTCACGTTCTAATATATGCTTCTGCATCCTTTGCATCAATTGCTTCCACGTGAACAATATAGCACCAGGTTTTCCATTCTGAACTCATTTCCAGCTCGTTTTTGGTAAAATCATGGCAGATGTGCAGATGACAAGCCTTATGTGCCAACATATCAGGTGTCAAAGGAAAAAGCATTGAGTTTGGGTATAGAATTCACTCCTTTGGAGGTGAGTCTCAAGGAAACAGTTGAAAGCTTGAGGGAAAAGGGATTTGTGAGTTTTGATTCTTAGTACCCATCTTTGTTGTCCCTCCATAAATAAATGGTGAATAAGTTTTCTTTTTTAATGTTTCTGGTTTTTGATGCCTTTTTCTTTTCAATTTGCTTGAGATGTCGACCCTTTCTCTGTTGGCTTTCGGTTATAATTGTTTCAGTTATTTTAATAGGGAAAATGATGATTTAATACCCAAAAACTACGTTTTAACTTAATCTCTCATCTTAACTTATTCTTTTTATAAACTTATGAAGAATTCTCTGCGATGGTCCATTGCCAACAAAGAACAAGGTTGAGAAAGACTTGTTCATGGATCCTGCATTCCGGTTGTTAATACTGCCACACTGATAATTCAGATTGATTTATATATATATTTTTTGAAAATATTTAAATTTAATTATATTTTGAAAACATTTAATTCAAATAACAAATGACAAAAAATGTTGCTATGAAAATTTAAAGCCAATGAATAAAATACCCATGGTACCTTTAATCGATTTTCTTGACAAATTATTTTAATTCTCAATGTTTTGTTCTTCATTAATATTGTTTGACTAGAGAGTGTTAGTTAATTAACTATTTACATTTGTTGTTAATCTAATATTATCACATGTATTTAAATACTAACATGATGCACGAACCAAATGATCTCTGTGGGGACACAAATTTGAACACCAACATATTTATGCTTTAAATACGAATAAGAGTTGACCATTACTCAACTAATAATCTGTATAAAAAATTATTTTAATAAAAAAATAAAACATTGAAGAATAAAATGCTTTAAATAAAAAAAAAATAAGATCAAGATCTACATTATACCTATGAATAACTATCCATATAAATTGTTTTGTAGTTTTCCCCCCTTCAATCTTTTAACTATAAATTTCTTATGGTCAGCACTCAGCAGCATAGAAGATCAAATGCGATGTCCCTGTAAACACCATAAGAACATAAAAACTTTACAGCCATTTCAAATTTCGAGCTTTGCCTTTTGCTTTCCTACAAGAACTCCTGAAACATATGGCAGCTAAATATGTTGAATCCCGCAGCCCCATATAACTGCCAAATAGGTGTATATATATAATACAAGTAAGATTTTCAACTAGAAATGTGTAGGTCCGGGAAAAGTAGTTATAGTTCCCGAGGGCCATCGAACGACTGTGTTTTTCTCAGGTTCCAGTGAAGGCCATCATGGATGCTGCTCAAGAAATCATTAGTAGAATCAACTTGACATGCTGTAGGCACGGGCCATGGTGCCATGCTGCACAAAAGGGCATCCCCAGGAGCCAACTGTTTTCTATCCTTACCATCAAATGACACCCAAGCTGAGCTTCTGCTATTAAATGGCACCACTATACGCAACGTTACATGCTCCGGCAATATCAGGGGTCGAAAGGATAATGAATGTGGACATATGGGTGTGAATAAGATACCAGGGACCTGCAGATTATAGGATTGTACACAACCAACATATTTTTTTAGTTATATGATTATATTTCGAAACTAAACAGAAACAGATGACATTAAAACAGTGTAATGAAACAAGCCCCCCTGAACAAAATCCTGAGTGTTATATCACTAAATGATTATCAGCATGATATTTTCAGATTTAAGGGGAATTATGATTATCAGCATGTACCTGTGGGTGGACCATTGATCCTCCAGCTGCCAATGAATAGGCAGTGCTACCAGATGTTGTTGACAAAATCAAACCGTCTCCTTGCACGGACGTGACGAAGGAATTGTCGCAATAGCATTCCAAATTTGTGAGGTATGATGATATTCCCCGGTCTATCGTAACCTCATTCAGAACAAGATTAGGTTCTTCTGTCTCATACTCATTTTTAGCCGCATCTCTAATAACACGGCACAACAAGCGGTGCCGTAATGTTATACTGACAGGTCCCCTCAGGACGGAATCAAGGCATTCTTTAAAATGTTCGCTATCTAGCACAAGTCAAAGAATTTTCCTTTCATTCCAATATGAGAATTAACAAAGATTCTCAGTTAAAATAGAAACAAAAAGTTTTAAACATTTATCCTTTGTTCAAGAAATACTTCATGGAACTGGAAGGATACTAAACGGAGTCATAAATCCCAAAGACCCTAAAGAAAACGGAACGATTGGAGGAACAGGTCCTTTGAACATTGATGCTGCCTGCAAAGAACAATTAGGAGATGATTGCTAAGCATGAACTCAGAAGAAATCCAGAATAAATAACAAAACGACCAACACAAATAGATCAGAAGAAATTCATACGACACAGGATTTACTTGCAGTGATAATGTCGGTTCTAATAATTAGTAAGTCATGTTAAAGAAACTGAGTCCATATAGATCCCGACATAAACCATCTACGGATCAACGGATGGACTCAGAATTGATGCTCAGAGTGGCAAAATTTGAATTTCATGAAAACAACCATACATAAACTAAATAAATATCTAATAATAACTTCTTAAAAATGAAACAAAATTCATTTTAGAAAACTTACTAAGTTTACTTTTACTAATGCATTTTCAATATGTGCTCAGACAAACAGAAATAACTTACCCATAGAACAGTTCCATCACCACCAAGGGTTATGATGAGATCAACTTTAATGTGCAGGACCAAAATTTCCCGGTCTAAAGGGCAGCAAAGTAGACGTTTAAATAAGAAATCAGATTACAAGCTAGAAGTAAAAGATAGTTACATGAAAAATAAATCAAACCAATTTACTACTCAAAAAGTATAGAACTATTGCCTACAAATACCAACAAACACTAAATTAAATAAATAAGTCTTGCTTAATTTTTTAAAAAAATTAACCACCAGTTTAATTAAATATTTCGGAAATTAGTTCGATTACAAACTTACCTTCCGCAAACATTCATATAGTAAATAGATGATGACAGAACATAAAGGGTAATACGGTTGATGCCTAAAAGCATTTAGCATGGTTCTAACTTCTAATACGGATATGTCCTACCTAGCATGAGATTATCAGTGGATGTGATAAAAATTATTGTACAGGATTATAACTCGGGTAGATTTTGCTGTATTGGGTTCAATAAAATTCAGTTCGAAAGGTGTTCGGACCAAATTGGATCTGATTTCCTTCAGAACACAGAAGTCAAATTGGACAGGCTCTTAGTTCCACAAGCAAAAACTTTTCTAGTTATGTTTGAAATTTCTGCCCCTTATCCTATATTTGATCTCAAATTTTATGTTTCTTAAATTTCATTTTCTTATCTATACTTGAGGTTTGCAAACACAAAGTAGCAAAACAGAATATTGAGGCAAAAACAATAAATGCAAACCACCGAGAAACAGAAAATTCAACATCAACACTTCATCAAGCTTTATACAGGCAGCATCAAGGAAACAATAAGCAAGATAATCGATTCATGATGAATTAAGTACCAGTGTGAGCATACTACTTTTGAAAGAAGAATTTGACAGTGAGGGGAAATGACTAACTACTTACCATCCTCCCATGTTTGTACATAGTGGAAGTCGGATGACTCAGTCAGAAGTTCAGATCTCACACGTGGTTCAACATAAATGTTTAACTTTTTCTTCTCTTTCAACCATCTGGATGAAAGGCTTAGAATGAGATGGGTAAAGGGATATGCAATAGAAGAATAATGACATGCAAGATTATAAATATGATAGACACCATACATTCAAAGAAGTTAATGCAAGGCTTGAGAACTAAAAATGACCAAAAAGTTAAAATGTCCTCAGAATATAATTAATAACTACAATACCCTCATATTGGAAACTTTATCTTAAACATCAGCCAATGTAAACACCATATTAAAGCTTATCAGAGTGATCAAAGGGAAGCGCCGTCAAGCAGAAGTACCCATACAACCAGGGGCGTTACAGGGACCTTTGCCCCACGTTGCCTTTTTGAAATCTTAATATACTACCTTTCGTCAAACTGAAACTGGTGAAAATATATCTTTCCACCCCCATATTCCCCACCAAAAGAAAGTTATAATTTGGTCCTTACAAGAGTGTCTTTATATTGGATAATGAAAGTTTAGCACATCTGATAAAACACTTTTAGTATTAGACTTAATTAAGAACTAATTTTGATTTCTTTCTCTTGACGATTAAGGTTTTTTTATTTTCACTTGATACTCCTTAAATTAAGAAATTTCCTTTCCTAATTAGTCAAACAATTCCTTTGTGTACTATGAAAATACCTGCTCAAAGAATTTTAAGGCTAATCGTGTATGCAATTGTGATACTAAGAAATTAGTGTTGAAATAAATTTGATTGTGAAGTGTGTGTGAAATTTCTTTTTGATTATTCTTCATCATCTTTTATTTTTTTCATAAAATATTCAGAAGCCACTTATATTATGAGTTACAGACAAAAAAGCAGGATGTAAAAATGATTAAACGCCCAACCGAGTTCTTTTTTTCTCTTTTGAGGGGAGGGGAATTAAATTTAAAGCAAGTGAAGCACATTCAAATATGCTTTCGAATGTCTTGAAGAGTTTTGCAGAGATCGGTTAAGGCAAAAGGACTAGAAGCAATTTGCATGAAACTTGCATTCGGAACGACACTATGTAAAATTAATTATCATTCTCAACATCCGCACCTGACCATTTGTGCACAAAGAATCCGAACAGAAACTGAATTCGGTTTGGTCAAAATAAGCACAGTCTGAGGGTCAGATTCCCACTTCAGAGAAATCTGGAAAGAAATAAGTTATCTTAGATGATAGATAGAAGGCACACAATAAACAAACAGTGTCCAAGCTACATTTTAAGAGAAGATACTAAGGAAATTGCAGCAAACAAGGCTCTCTAATACAATAGAGGAAGTAATACCTGTTTACTGCTGCGTTCTGCAGTCGTAATATTTCCTTTTTCAAAAGAGACGACATCATGTTTGTGCTGATCACCATTCTCACCCTTGCAGCACCAGGAAAGCTTAAATGATGCCTATTGCACAAAACATAGTTTTGAATTATGCGAGCTGTGCATTTATACTAAAAACATTTTCACATTGGTGAAGTGGATAAGGTTCCCTTGCTAGACTTGATATTATGTATCTGTTTACTTACACGCTTAAGCTATAAGCACAACAAAAATTAGGTTGAGAAAATGCATATGTTGTTATGAAAAGAAATATGGAAAAGATGAATACTAAAATATTAAAAAATTTAAAGGAAAGCCTCCAAAATGCTGTCGTACAAACAAAACAAATAACATAACATCAGGAAACAAATAACATAACAAAATTAGGTTTGTATTGGTGTTTATTCCCGTATGTGGGTTTGGTGTTACCTTATGTACTTGGTATTCTATTTAATAAAATATGAGGTACTCTTTTCTCCCTTCCAATGTTCTTCAACATACTTCTAAGTATGTGGAAGAATATGAAGGGAGTTTTTAATGAAACCTCCAAATTCTATAAAAAAAAATAACATCAGGAAACTGGAAAGCTTTTTTTTTTCTCACAAAAAAAAAAGATCAGAAAGGACAGAAGGCAAGTTAACAAGAAAACGAAAAGGTATACTAATCTAGAAGGTTCTTGATTCAAAATGGAAGAATAATAAACAAACCATACCTTTCTCATCATCTTACTTCGATCTACATTGGAATTTGAGTCTGATTCCCTGTCACGAAGAACCTCATGGGAGCAAATCCCGTGCTTCATACAACATTCCTCAAACTGCTCATCCAGTTCATTCTGCTGCATCAATTGTTTGTCCAAGTTCTTTACCCTCCCGCAATCAATATTGCCATTTTGCTCAGCAATTCGAGCTACCGTAAAGCATAAAAAAGAACTTTTCAAATAAAGCAAATAGTTTTAAAACTTCACCAACCACCATAATGCGTCCTCAATATTTGAGCTAGACACACTCATCACAAAGGACTCTTAACTTCTCAATAGCAGTAGTGTACATACAAGATCCTTTATCAATGATTATATGGAAGACAAATTACCCTCCCCCATAATTGAACTCTTTTGAAAAGCCCGACATGTTTTTCTTCCTGCTCAAACTGGAAGAATTCGGATAGACATAATCAACTCTATTTAAAAACAAATTTAACAATCATTCGTATATTTGGACATTGTCTTCCTATTCAAAAGACGATGTGCATATATTCAGAAGAAAGTAAATCTATTGAAAAAACATAAAGGAAAATGAAAAGAAGACGACGTCCAAATATTTGGACAATGACAAGAAAAGGGTATTCCCCTGTAAGAACCTTGGACAATAAGCCCCAAATCTATCATTCTAAATATTTGGACATTGTCTTCATTTTATTTAACATATTTGCTATATCCCATTAGAACATTCCTGAAAGGAGGCATATCATCAATCAATCATAGGCTTGACATCAACAATACATATAATAACAGGGAGAACTCCCTTTTTTACCATTTATCCTTGAGCCATTCTATCACTACACTAACCATCCTCATCCACTGTTATGTTTCCTTCTACAATGGTTCCAAGTCTAGATAACATCATTTATAACAACACCAGAAGCAGGGATCTTTATGCAATAGAAAACCTTCTAGAGATCTCAAATCCAACTAAGTGTGTTCAAGAGACTACAGGCAGCCACCTCATGTAAAAATGCTGAGAATTCCCAATAAAACCCTCAACGGACCACTCTATGAAGATAAAAAAAGTGAATGATGGATGAAAACGTCTATCCAGCTGAATGTATATACTTAAAATACACAACTAAAACTCTTCATGTGTATTAAGGCTTCCTAAACACCTAATATACGATTAAAACTCTATGGACTAAGAGCAAGTTTTAAACTTAATTTGGTGTTTTTAACAAATATCTCCAGACTCCATCACCCTCTGCAAATATCTAAAAGGTACATTAACCGTCATTTTACTTGTCTTTCTTTAAGGTACAAAAAACTTGCATAAGCATCATATAGAACCTTCACCCATACATCCTCAAACTCTTGCAAGTGAATTAACTTTGACAAGGTTTGTTGCTTTGGCAATTTCTGAGGATGCTGTCAAGTTTTCATGATAACTAATCCCAACAAGTGAAATAAATGAATTCGTTTAAGATAGGCTGTGATGATTCTTCAATGGAAGCAACAAAATCACTGTTTTTACTGAAAAAGTTTAAGAAAATACCTTCTAATACTCTATTTCATACTTCCCAAAATTCTCAGAAGACAAGACACGGTAGAATAATTCTTATATTTCCATTGAATTATCTACAGAAGTCCATGTCCTCCAACTTTGTATCTTTTGACAGATATTGTTGCCTGATACTGGAATAGCCAGAATCTGATAATAATGATTCCAAATTTGATTAGCAGGGTCCAAAACCAAATATATTGTCCAATTTCCAATACTTGTGCAGCAAGAAAACCAGATGGTCTGAAAGCTGGTCCAGGTAATGAAGCAAGCCCCCCTTATTCTCCCTTGTTATAAGTAAAATTTTTATGTAGTGGGATGGAAAATAAAACAAGAGTGGAGCAGATCCTCAAAAGATCTAAATTGCAGAACACCTACAGAACCTATCAATCATCTAGTACCATAGCAGAATCCTCCAGATACTAAATAGGTAAGGGAACACTAATCAGATTTTCTGCTTAAGTGACCCCAAGCTATGAGAATTCAGAAACTACATGTATCTTTCTTCAGTTAGTTCAAAGTAGAATTCAATTAACATCAAAATGCTGGGGGAACCTTTCGGCAGACGAAACATCAACTTAAGAAAAATACTCTCCAAAATAACACAGAGAGACTTTTTTTACCAAGTTAAGAACCTTGTAGTTAACTTTCAAATGTTGTTTAACTTGTTTTATTCCTTCTTAGTGACTACAATGTTACGAAGCTTAGCGTCAAATGTTGTGCCATCAAGAAACAAGTTCTTTATAAAACAACCTTGTAGTAGTATAGGGAGGAAGACCAACGAAAGAAATGAAGCTGAATATGCCCATCAGTTAAGCAATTTATGAGGTCGCAGTTTCTTTTGACCAGACAAGATCAGATTATAGGTGTAAATCAAACAGCTAGCAAGGAAGACCTAATTTGTAGGTTTTGTCAACTCAAGTTCAAGCGTCCCCCCCCCTTCTTGTAGAGTAATTTTCATCATCAAAATTTATGAAATACAAAAAATATGAAACACATACGACAGAACATCTATGCAATTTAATCTTAAAAACCTTTACGCTCCATCTGTATATTCCTGCTTCTCTCCAGTTCATATCTACGTTTCCATTCAGCAGCTTCAGCTTGAGCAGAAGCCTTTCCTTCAGCAGCCCGTCTTAATGCCTTTGCAACAGCTAATAATTTGTTCAAAGTAGTAAGCACCAAGAATGAAATAAAAAAAGAGAGAGTTCAACTGGAAGAGATAAAAGCATTAAAAAATTGAAACAAAATATACTTCTCAAAGCTTCGGAGAACTCTATAAGATGTTCATCCATTCCTTGAACAGGAGTTTGTTGAAGAAGTTCTTCCACTGCCTTCTCGGAATGGAAAAGAGAAAGTGGATCAATGAAACCATTCTCTGGCTTCAAGCATGAAACACTTGCATCTCCATGTCCAAAGGAAGCCTGTTCAAAGTTTATAAATATGACATTGATTCCAACCGAAAACAGATATGCCATTTTAGGATGAGTCCAGTTAAAGGTGCCTATATGCACTAAATTTAAAGCATGTTTGAATTCATATTACAGTTCAATATTTGCTTGTACTTTAAAGCAAGGCATAGAGAAGAAAAAAAAGTTAGCTTAAAAATAACAATCAAATAAGCCTAGATTATCTAAAGCATTTTAGAGGTTGAAAATGAATTAGTTGTTTCAATGATTTCATCATTTTGTAATTCTTCCTATGTTATACATTACGAAGTTAGTAGTTCCTAAAGATTTTGATGTAAGAAAGCAAAACAGAGTACCTCAATAATGTCCATAAATCATTTTAAGAGGTGAATTACTACCCTTAACATTTCTGACCAAATTAAGCACAAATATCATCAGTAATCTTCAACGTGGCTTCTTAAATGGAAATTAGATTAGTTCCAGCAGTAAACTTAGGTCAATAAATATGGTGATCCCCAATACGGATGTAGAAAGTTCAGGTCAACCGAAGCAGACATAAGAGAGAGAGAGAGAGAGAGAGAGAGAGAGAGTACAAAACATCCTATAGTCCTTATGAACAGGAAGACACATGGTTCAGGTCAACCAAACCATAATATTTTGTACAAGCAATTAGAGACAAATGTTATAGAAGTAATAGGATACTAAAATGCAGCAGACTAGCAATGAACACAGAAAACTGTCATCTCCAAAATCTAAAATTTCTAAATTGAATTCCAATTTCTGATCAAACTAAAGCTTTCACGTTTCATCAGTTTCATAACCATAACAGAAATATAGCTCTACCAACAACCCAAAAACAAAAAAAACTGAGATTTCTTTATCCAAACAAACAAAAAAAAAAGGCACCCAATACAGAATAATAAAAAGAAATACAATTCAGCAGCCTACTAAGCAAGCAGAAAGACAAAGGGGGGAAGAGGAGGAGTGAGATTTAATTACAGTGGCATCTTCCTTGCAGGGAAACATGGCTGTGAGCAAAGGGAAGTGGAGAGTAAATGAGTTGAGAGACGGAGAAGCGAATTGGGAGAGAAGGGAAGGTTTTTATACAAGTCCGGAAAGGTTTGGCCTTCGCATCACATATGAACTTAACGTGTCCCATAATATAAAATTGTCATTATTATATGATTTGAACAAATAATTATACAAATCATATTAAGATAAAATTAAATATTTTGTTCTTTATTTGTTTTATTTTTAAAATTTAATAAAAACTTCTAATATTGTTTAAACATAATCTATGATATTATCGGTTACCAATAATATATTAAATAATGATTTATAAAAATATAACGTATTTTTTATATTTCAAATTTTTTTAAAAAAAAATTTGAAAAATGGAGAAAGAGGACAACATTCGATTATCATGACAAAATCACTTTTGACTACAGGTGTGTTTAAGAATGAGTTAAATTAAATTTGACTAGAAAATAAAATAAAAATTTGACTTTATTTGATGTAAAAATTTGCAGTTAATTTAACTTTACTCGTAATTTTATAAAATTAATTTAATTTTTTAAATAAAATTTAATTTATAAAATGACTTAAATGATTCAAATTTTCTAATGATTAATAGATTGATTTATAAGTTCAAGTCAATCCTTTAACTTTACATATACACACACATATATATATATATATACATACATCGTATATAATTATAAAAAACATTTATATTGATATCAATTAATAAAACAACAATATAAATATTTATAATTAAATTAAAAAAAAGCTTGAACATTTTGATTTGACTCAATTTTTTTTAAATAAAACTTAAATTATAACTTAGACTTGACTAACTCATATAATTTTTTACTCGACTCGATAAAATATTCTCCTCTTTGCATGATAAGGTTTTTATATGTTTTATATTATTATTAGCATAATATTATCTAATTGCTGAGATAAGTTAATTATTCTATAATTTCTATTTTCACTAAATCTTAATAGTTCAAGAAAATATCCAAACTATTTTATGAAATTATTGTTAATTTTATTAATAAAAAAATTAGCTTTCCGTTTCCATTTCCAACCACACGAGGGATTCGTTCGTATCCCACTTTTCTTTACCTTGAAAGTCAAACTTGATGGGATTATTTATATTCGTAAACAATTATAATGGGGGATGGGCTAATGGTGGGCCCACTCTGCGTCTCCGACTCTTCGTTCTCCACGCGGGGGATCATGTGGCATGTCACACGATCTACACTATGATCCATTTTATTATTACCTTCTGTTCGTTGTGTTTGAAATTTTGATTATCATTTTTAAATTCTAGTTATATATGTTTGGACGGATGACTTTCAATTCTATGATTCTTTTTAAATTTAGTTATTTATGTTTGGATTACTTTAAAATTAATTATCTATGTACACCGAATCTATTTTTTTAATAAGCTGAAGTAATTATAAATAATATTTATTTTAAATATTTTATATTATCTGATAATAAATAATTAATTATTTTATCAAAATCAAACCCGTAATTTTTAAAAATAAGAATTATTCTTTTACTATCACATTACTTACTTCGTAGCATAATGTTTGAAAAATAAAAATTACCGCGGCTATGTGGTTCCGTCCTATTTGTGAAAACGAGAAAGAAAAAGGTTCAAGCCACAGTTGACGGAGACTAAGTCCACATTGCCAAACAATTTCCGTCTTTCTTTGACTGCACAAAACGCTAATTTCTGTAGATTGTTGAAGAAAACAAATAATTTTGAATGGAGAGTTAATTCGCGTATTGTTACGTAGGTGTCAATTAAAATCAATCAAATATTTTGAAAATAATATATGATAAATATTTTTTTTTGGTGAAGAAAGAAATCAACACGTACTCTGTATTTCCCCCCACGGTTATTTTGTATAAGAAGCATTTAGTGAGCTGCACAAACACCGGATATTCAACACAATCATATGGAGTAATATATAGCAGTGGCACATCAATGCCTTGTGGTAATAAAAAAGAATTTAGTGTAACGGAGAGTTAAGACCCTCTTGAGAAGAGAGAGAGTGGAGAGGCTGGTGCCGCTTGGAAGCAGAAAACGACGGTATCTTCCTGAACGAAGGCCTTTTATCAAGATGCCCAATTGTCCTCTTTGCATAGATTTCTTGAAAAAATGGTGAAGCCTTCTCTTTTATCTTCAGAATCAAGAAGAAGATGAGGCGGTAGCATATGAGTATGACCACCACTGCAGTTAAATCCAACCACTTGGACCGATCTACCGTCACCCCGAAGTACTGTGTAATGATTTGATCCCCGGTTAGTTTCTGATCACCCGGTAGTATCGGATCAAATTCGAGGCCGATGAAATCGTTCTTGTAGGCGCCCTGCATCACCGTTACTTTTCAAAACAGAGAAAATGCATATATTATGTAATTTAGTTTCATTGATACATGAAATGCATACCTGAAGTGCCCATGAAGTAAAACTGATGTATGAAATAGGGTAACGCCAGAATATCTTAGGAAGATCAGGCAGCAACCTGAAGAAGCCTGAAGTCATCATCAGGATCCCCTGTAAGAGAAAAATGAAAACCTCTGCAGTTAAATAAACAAGGACAAGAGAGCTTCAAAAGATGATCAAGTAACCTGGTTTCGATTACTTACTATGATTCCGGCACCGGTGATGATTCCCATAAGGTAATTAGGAACCAATGAAGCTACCACCATCATGAGGCTCTCGATCACAGTGATGCTGAAGAAGATATTGAGGCAGAAGAAGGCATAATGCGAAAATCCGGATCGAAATTTCACCAGGTAAAATGTTATTGTTCCTGTGATCAGTGCAATAGCAACCAGAAACGGAAATGAAGACAAGAAATTGGAGAGAGTATAAGCTGCAACTCCATAATATCCATTCAGCCTTTCTTTGTTAAAAACCTGTTTATAAAACAATGGAAGAGTATCACACGACAATGCCTATGTTATTATCTTCTGTAACTCTTCTGAATCACAAAGACCGTTTCCTTTTACCTTCATTTCTTCGATGAAGGACGGAAAGCCTCCGATCGACATGAAGGTCATGAAACCTGTGACGAATCCACCACATGCTACTCGGGCGAGAATAGCGGTATTTCCATAGCCGACATCATAGAAGACGGTTCCGACGCAGATAGATACAAGTATATATATCACAATCCTTGCCCAGTAGTAACCTACATCTCTACACATGTTGAGAAATGATCGTTTTGTCAATGTTATAAGTTGCTTTAACCATGCTGCTTCACTTCCGCTAATTGCTTCTACCTCAAGTCCTTCCTGAAATCACATACACACTTCTCAGGCATTGTTTTATATTTTAGACTTTTAGACATCAAATCAAAAGCTGTATTTTTGAATGCTTACAGTTTTCGATATTTCTTGAATCCTAGCTTTTGCCGTTTCCGCGTACTTCGACTGGCGGTACTTTACAACAAGGGCGGCTTTGATTTGTATTGTTGCCATATTCGTGAAAGGATCAGAGCTTGAAGGTTTATCCTAAAGAAAATCAAACACGAACTTTAACTGTCAGTGTTTGCACGTCAACTGTAATCCTAATTCCTAGCAAAGTAGAACATCGTGGAGCAATACTTACGCGCAGTCTTTGAGAACCTTTCAGTGTGGCTGTCACGGCATCGAAGTCGGAATTTATACACCGGAGGAAGTGATCCGAAGGGTTTCTTCTACTCGGGCATGGGAAACCAGCTTCAGCAAAGAACTGTAAACAATCAAAGGCTAAGGAATTAAATTCCAAACATATCAAAAATCATGCAGTTATGCAACATTACAATGCTTGTTTGTTCTATGTTCCTATACCTGGACAGCCAATTTCGCCTCTCCAAAGTAAACAGTTTCACCGCCGGATAGCAAGAAAAGGTCGTCGAACAGCGCAAAAACTTCACTACTGGGCTGGTGGATCGAAGAGACGACGGTCCTCCCGTCACGAGCTATGTTTCGGAGAGATTGAACAACGAAGAAAGCGGAGGCACTGTCAAGGCCGCTGGTAGGTTCATCGAGGAACAACATGTTGGGCATGGTGAGGATCTCCAGAGCAATGCTGAGTCTCTTCTTCTCCCCACCACTTATTCCTCTTAAATGCCAGTTCCCAATCACTGTGTCACCGCATTCTTGAAGACCCATTTCCATGATTGTTCCCTCCACAATGTCATTCACTTCATCTCTGGTTAAGTTACTAGGAAGCCTCAAATGAGCAGAGTATGCTAGGGTTTCTCTTACTGTCAGAGTTCCCAACATCACATCCTCTTGAGTCACATAAGCCTGAAAATTGAATCACATGTATGTGTCAAGTGTAAAGCTGAGAGAAGATCCTCTGTTCCCGGTTGGTTCCATTCAACAAAATCTATTATACAAACATGAAGACAACAAATATACAAGTAAAAACACTTACAATACCACCATACTCTAGTCTCTTCTTTCCATTTAAAAGAATATTTCCAGTCATGACCACATTTCTGGCGAGTCTACCTGCACCAAGATTATGAAGATATTTTTTTCACTTTCGTATATACATAATTATACTAATATCATTTGTGAATATTTAGATTAGACTTAATTTTTATTGTAAGAAGAGAGAGACTGTCCATATTAAACTCGAAAAATAATATTAATTACTCCATAACGTTAACGTTTATTAGCTAGTAAAATATATTATAACAATGACATAATGTTAGAAGACTATTAGTCTATTACGACAAAGGGAAAAAAATTAACAGAAGACTATATTTTTCGGTCCAAAAATCATTCTATTGGGTGACCTTTTACTTCTTTAAAAAGTCAGCAAGAAACGTAGGCCTCTTATTGAAAGGACGCCAATTTAATACCAACCAACATGCCAGCTATAAAATTATTAAATCAATACAGTCTATTATTCGCAACCCACACACATTTAAATATAATAATTCAAACTCAAAATTTATAGAAAAAATAATATTCTTTCTATTATTGAAATTATTTAATAGATTTGATTTTCTTCAAAATTAAAAGTAATAGAGTAAAATATAATAAATTAATGTGAAAAGTATGACTATAATATGTTTGCATTATTTTCAAGAGGCATAATAATTTATTTTTAAATAGATAAATTTAATATTAAAATAAAAAATTATTATGAATAAATATGATATTAATTAAAAATTAACACAAATACAAATATTAAAAATAAATGAAAATTAATTATTAAAAAAGCCACATCATGTCTTGGATATAAATTTAAAAAATAAATATTTTAAAGTTTATTCAAAGTAGATCATTATTGTAAAACTTTGTATAAATTTAAACAAACAAGCATAAATTTTCTGTAAAAATGAATAAATATAAAATGAATTGAGAGGTAATATACGTATTTTTAAAAAAAATATCATCTATAAATTATATAAAATATAAAATGAATTAAACATAAATAAACATAATATTGAATTAATGAGTAAAAATTAGGTGTGTTTATGCCTAAACTTTAGAGTTGGGGAATCAAGCATATCCCAATTCAAGCAAATCCCATGAGAGGAAAACCCCAAAATAATTGAGAGGGAAATTCACGATAAATTAGAAGGGTCCACTTCATTTAGGTTAATTCGAAGGAGGAGCAATATCTTTAATGCTGCATTTATTATATAATTCAGTAATTCCTTCTCTCCCCTCTTAAATATACAATTCATATACACATGAATATATGTTATATAATACTACATATTTATATGAGAAGCCGTCTGTTAAATTATTCGGTTCACTCACTATTCTTTTATTACATCGCAAAACATCTTGTTTGACAGAGACAAGAAGTTCTATAAAAGTTACTGGATTGTTTTAATGTTTAGAAGGCTTCATTCTCTTCGTATCTTTGAGTTTAATATTTTAATTTTATGTATGAGTTTTTGGTGACTATTGCCCTCAATTTCTCTTTAAATAAGTTGTAATTTTGATTCCTCCATTTTTATCAATGAAACTCGGTTGCCATTATTAAAAAAATTAAAATAAGATCGGCATTATAAAATTATCGTAAAACATCATTTATTATTTCAATAATTTAATCTAAATAGAATAGATTTAAATTTATTTAATTATTGCATTGAATAAGGCGGAGGATAAGGCACTTTAAATTTTTGGCTATGGTCAAGGGAACTACGTACTAAAATGCTTTGTTGCTAATAAAAATCTTGTCCTTTTTTCTCTCTTTTTTTTCATTTCGGTAAAATCTATTTACTTGAGAACCAAAATTTGGGAATTGGACAACGTCAAACATGGAGGTTTCACCAAGACAGACATCCAACATCTACTCAGAATACGTGTATGTATATAAAATAGAAATTCTTTGGCTCCAACCGTTCCTCATCATTTCAGTAATATTATTAATCAATAAATTAAATATTTCCCATTCTCCTAACACATTTAATACGAAAGCATGTTGGGTTCTAACGTTTTAGAGAAATTTATCTTCTTTATTTATAAATTGACACTAAGATTAGTCCGTAAATTTTTGGCATAAAAATGAAAACAAAACAAGGATAGAAAGAGAGAGGGGCGAAGTAAGACCTGCTAGAGAGTCGAGTAGTGTGGATTTCCCGGAACCAGAAGGACCCATAATCGCCATGATTCTTCCAGGTTCAGCATATCCACTAAGTCCTTGGAGTAACCTTTTAGTCGGTTTATTACCGAAGTTCGGCAACACCACCGTCAGATCCTGCCAAACCAAGTAAACACCCCTCACCATATCCTCATCATGAGCACCACCACCGCCACCGGAACCACAGATATTGCCGCCGCCGACAGCACCATCTTTCTTACTACAGCTTGCTGCCTCTATCTCCATCGCATCAGAAGCTAGCTAGGGAAACAAACAAGAGGATATATAGAAGGAAAGAGAAGACGAAGAAATGGCCCATCAACATTGAGCACACACTTTGTGAGATGTTATTGGTGTGTTTAGGGTTTCAACACAACGATCACCAAACAACTAACCATTAATGCGGTTCCTGTGATTGGAGGACTCGTACTACAAGCATGGGCCCGGCAGAGAGAGAGAGAGAGAGATTAATGAGGTGCTTTTCATACAGACAAGCGGCATATGTGTGGGGTGGAAAGAAGTAAATGACTTTGAATCCAATGCCAAAAGTAGCATTAATGACTCTCTACTACCTTCATTATTTTGGTATTTTCTTTTCTAGTTTTTTCTAAAGTAATCATAGTATCATATTTCTGTCAACTTTCATACTGTGTTTTTATTTGACCACTATTTCCAGATTATATGCGACTTAAAAGCGTTTACGCATGAGTATTTCAATTTTCATGCATCATCTTCCGTTTGAAGATAAAATTAAAATTCTTTCCGAAAATATTAAATATATTTTATTTTAAACTTATTATATTAAAATCTTATGATCTTACTATATATTTCATCCTTCATGCTTATATCACAAATAAATATCTAAAATATACTCTTCTTTCCATTTAAGTACCTAAAGTATTATTTTAGTCAAAATAAGTACCTAAAGTTATCTTTTTCATTTTATCAAAATAGGGACCTAAAACATTTGAACTTTTTTATCTAAGTTCTAAAAAAGTTTATATGTGATATTAATTAAAAAAATACTTTATTTACTTGAATAAAAAAGTTATATACTTATTTTAACCAAAAAGATAACTCTATGTACTTATTTTGATCAAAAAAATACTTTAATTACTTAAATAAAAAAGATAATATACTTTAAGTACTTATTTATTATATAAGTCAACGTAGAACTAATTCGTTTATTTTATTTTATCATAATTTAATTATTCGTATAAAAGATAAGAAATTAATCTAATTATCTATAAATACATGAAATCTAACTAGTATTTTTTTAATTTATTATGTATAGATTATTAAATTGTTGATTTTTAGTCGACCATTTAATGATAGAATTTTAGTAATATTGTCTATCGATTTATTTTTTTAAAGTCTTATAATCAAATTTTAATAAATTAATATAGTGGAACTAAATTTTCAATTTTCAGTTTTAATAAATTTTAGTAATATAGCTGCCATGACGAATTTAAAAACACCTTTATTGATCATAAATACCATTACTTCTAAAAGATGGATATCTGTGTGATTGGATGATGCATAGCTTTTTATCATTGAACAAACGTAAACCGATACTGGCTACTAATAAACACTTGTTTATTTAAGATTGGGGTTTCTCTTTAATTCTTCTTCGATGACGGATCCTTTCCCTGTAGTATTCTCTTATTCAGTTTTTTTTAAATTATTGACAATACATACTTTATAAATGTAACTGGTTGAACTTATAACCTTTAAAAGAAAGGCTTCATACATTTTATAGTGTATAAATTATACCTCAAAATACTATTTGGTATTTAAAGATTTTTTTTGCTAACAATTGGCGTTTAACGTTTTTTTCCGTTACACTTTTAGGTTCCTACTATTTTCTCCATTACATGTTTAGGTCCTACCGTTATTTTTTACTTTTCTAATAATAAAAGTATTGTTTTTTAAAAAAATCAAACCCTCTGTGTTGTCTCCATCCCACCCGGCCTACGACAAAGGGTCACCATCAATCAACTTTTGTTCAAAGCAAGACGAGAAACTTAACGGTGACGGTCCGTGTAACGTACGGATGATTGTAGTCATCGAAATCGACAAAAAAACAAAAAAACCTAAAAATCCAGTGACAGTTAGCGGCGTTTTTCACGACGGTCGATGCAATTTAACAGTGGTTGGGGATTGCATTTTGGTCGTTGTGGCGAGACAGTTCTGATTAGGGATGGGGATGAAACTCGAACCTGATGGGGATGGAACCCGAACCTGACGGGTTCCAACCCGACTCGACCCGATCGAGTTGCATTTTCTCCATTTTTTTAATTTTTGTCAAAACATACTTTATAAACGTAACTAGTTGAACTTATAACCCCTAAAAAAGGCTTCGTACATTTTTCAATGTATAAACTATACCTCAAAATACTATTTAGTACTTAAAGATTTTTTTTGCTAACAATTGGCGTCTAACGTTTTCTCCGCTACACTTTTAGGTGCTTATAGTTTTTTCTATTACACGTTTAGGTGCCTACCATTATATTTTTTATTTTTTAATAATAAAAGTATTATTTTAAAAAAAATCAGACCCTCTGTATCGTCCCCCTCCCTCCCATCCCTCTCGGCCAACGGCAAAAGGTCATCGTCGATCGGCTTTTGTTCAAAGCAAGACAAGAAACTTAACGGTGACGGCCATGTAATGTACGGATGACTGTAGTAGTCAAAATCGACAAAAAACAACAACGAAAAATCTAGAAATCCAACGATAATTAGCGGTGTTTTTCACGACGGTCGATGCAATTTAACAGTGGTTAGGGATTGCATTTTGGTCGCTGTGGCGAGACGGTTATGATTAGGGATGGGATGACCCGAACCTGACAGGTTCCAATCCGACTCGACTCGAACAGGTTAAACTTTTTTTAAAAATGAGTTCAGGTTCGATTGGGGTTTTTTAAGGTTATGTTTGAGTTTATGTTTAGGGTGAAAATGCCCAACCCGACCCAAAAAAAATAATTTACCTTATATATTTAGAAATAATTACAATAATACCCCTTTATATATTATTTTCAATTAAACCCCTATTTTTATTGAATAAAAATATTTTTAATAAAAACATTATTTCAAATCAGATCGAGTCGAATTTGGATTTTATCTCAAAAATTGGGTCGGGTTCGGGTGGAAGATGAATATTTTTGGGTCGGATTCGGGTCGGTTGGAGGAATAATAATTTTTGGGCCGAGTCGGGTAGATCAAAAATCCGACCTGACCCATACCTATCCCTGAACTGATGGTGTCAACATTGACAGCCATATAACGACAATGATGTAAAATTTAGGAGGTTGGTTTTTTAATTATAATATTAATTTTTCTTGTAAAATAATTTTTGAAATTTTATGTGTCACATGTGTCAGATAACAGTCAAATTTAACTGTTGTTACAGTCCAAGTGCTTAAAAGTATAATGTTAGAAACGTTTAGACACTTATTATTAGAAAAACTTCTTTAGAAACCAAATCGTATTTTGAGATTTAGTTTAAAAACTAAAAAAAAGTATTAAACCAAAAAAAAACCAGTCTCTTTAACCCAAAACCCAATTAATGTGTTCTTCTAGTTTCTTCTTCTATAATTTAGTCTAGGGAAATATTTTTGAGGCACTCGCACTTCACTTCTATAATTTAATTTTGAGTAATATCTTTAAGATATAATTTTGCAGACTAAAACTTTACCAAACAAATCCATTGTTAATATTTGGGTCACACTGGTTAATTTATAGTTTATTGGGTTACACTCGTAAATTCTTATTATACTTTTAGATGTTTTACAACTTTCTCCATTACACATTTTAGTACTTACCCTTAGTCTCGTCCTCCGCCCTTCCATCCTCCCGTCGTTCACGGCAAAGGGTCATTACCGATCGGATTTTGTTCGGAGCAAGACGAGAAACTCAACAGTGACGATCATGTAACGTATGGATGACCGTAGTCAACGAAATCGCCAAAAAAAAACAACGAAAAATCTAGAAATCCAGCGATCCTTCTCGACATTTTTCATGACGGTTGATGCAATTTCACAATGGTGGGGGATTGGATTTTGGTCGCAATGGTGAGACGGTTCTGATTGTGTCAACGTTAACGATCATAGACCGACTATGGTCGATTAGCGGCGAAAGATGTAAAATTTAAGGGTTATTTTTTTAATTATAATATTAAGTTTTTTTTAGTAAAATAATTGTTGAAATTTTATATGTGTCTCACGTGTCACATAACAATTAAATTTAAAGGCGAATACTTTCAGGTACTTAAAAATATAATATTAGAAACGTTAGGCACCTATTATTAACAAAAACTTCTTTAGACACCAAATCTTATTTTGAAATAAATTTAAACAATAATAACATGTATCAAGCCAAAAGAAAAATAATAAGCGGATGACTTTGTGGGGGAGAAGATTATGGACTGCTCCATATGCTGTTAACACGATCCTGCTTGAAGAATGCCTAGGCGCTAGTAGTTAACACTCCTGGCTTTCTTTCTTTGTTTATCAACAAAATAAATCAAATGAGCGGAAAAAAAAAACTCAATCTAGCATTACACACACGACTTTTGAACAGTGAGACAAGTACATGTTTGGACTTTAGAGAACAACAAGACCCAAGGCTAGACGAAGAGAAACAAAAGTTGAATCATATGACAAATTCAACTCTTGAATAACTCTAATCATCCGGAGCATCCTTATTTGATATTCTGAATCATAAGCAGTAGGTACTGTAAAACAATTCATAAGGAGCCCAATTACTTGAAGAACTCCATGACCCACAAGTTACAAACAAGACACGCAAATCGTATGCCTAAAATCCAGCTTTACTTGCCAATGCTTGGAATTCTTGCTTGGTTCGTTCTTTTCCTCCTGGATTCTGTGTCATCATCAGTACACTTAGCTGGGAAGTGTATCTCTCTTGAGCATTAGTCTCGGGTACAACCGGAACCACATAATCAACCACTATTACTTTTCCATCATTTGGGATCGCATTGTAACAATTCTTCATTTTCAAACAATGTTGGTCACTCCAATCATGAAGAATGCCCTATCAATTTACAACTTTCCTTGTTACTTTCATACCTAAAATTTACATTCACATTTTCAAATAAAAATTCCATAGCTGTAGCTACTTGGATACAGAATTAAATTCCATGTTTAACCTTATTCATTCATGCCATCATAATTTTTCAAATAAAAAACAATTTAATAATTGAAAGTCATTATGAAAAGAATTTTTTTTAGATAAAAATATCA